GGAGAAGACCCTTTTTTATTCCAGAATTTTCCCCAGTGCATAAAGAAAGGTCCATAAATACATGGTTGGATGAGTTTGGTGTAGAAGAGGTTGACTGGCCCACACAGAGACCTGGCCTCATCCCCAACCCTTTGGGATCAACTGGAATGGAAAGTGGAAGCCTTCTCGTCTAACATCAATGCCTGACCTCACAAATTCTCCAATGGATGAATGGGCAAAATTTCCTACGGAAACACTTGGAATGCCTTCCAAGAAGAGTTGAAGCTATTGTAGCTGAAAAGGGGGGACCAACTACATGTTTATGTTGACAGTTGGCATTACACGGGAGGATTGCCCTGCTTGGAGAAGCATCCCCAAGCAGGACAAATTACAGAAGACTGCAGATGGAGCAAAGGACAGACTGTGGGTATTTACAAGAAGAGTAACACCAGTCAACCTGAGAAAATTGTGGTGCTGGATCAGAGTAAGGGGAGTATATCTCAATAATGTACATTGAATACATTGTGTAGTGCAATGATATATGATGTAATCAATGTAATTGGGGACAATTTGGGTAAACCTTATAAATACAGTTTGACAGTTACTTCAATCCCACATAAGGATAACACATTGGGGATCATATGGATGAGACAATGTGATGTCATACTATGGGTGGAGTATATGGGGTGTGGTTTTTCTGATGTCACATCATAAGTGGAGCGTTAGGGGGCACTGCTAAATTTTGCTGATTTTTATGCTTTGGGGGATGATGGGGTATATGTATAGATGGGTGGAAACTCCATGTCCACCACACATTATTACATTTACACCTCCTACATGATAACCACCTAGCAACCACGTGTCTAACCCTCTTTATTAATATTTACTCCACACCTGCTGCCATTGAGAGAGGGAACTGGTATTGCCGCCCCCACCCTTACCCCCCACATCCCCCCCACCATATTATTAGCGGCCCCATCTTCCCTCATGGCCTTTAGATGATATTATGGCCTGTATCCCAATGTCCAGCTGCCTCTCCTATCTATATGACACTGTCTTTACAGACATTATTTCCTTTGGATAAGTAAAAGTGGCAAGCCAAGAGGGGATTATAGGGATTTGTTACATAAATCAATACAGCACCCCTCACACACACACACTGCATCCCTCACACATACCATGGTTTTTATTTCTGGCTGATGCCGGCTGGCGAAATATTTCTCCTCTTTTCGCCGGGCCGTGCTTGTTAAAGGGTTGCAGAACACTGGTGTAAACCATGCCACCACTCGACTCTGGAGCAATAGAAACGTGTTATGCGGACTAATGAATCACAGTTCTCTGTTTGGCAGTCTGATGGGCAAGTCTGTATTTGGCAGATGCCAGATGAATATTACCTGCCTGACTGCAATGTGCCAACTCTAAAGTTTGTTGGAGGAGGGATAATGGTAAGGGGCAGTTTTTCAGGGGTTGGGCTAGGCCCCTTACTTCCAGTGAAGGGAAATCTTAATGCTTCAGCATACCAAGACATTTTTGTGGGATGCTTCCAACTTTATGGGAACAGTTTGGAGAAGACCCTTTTTTATTCCAGAATTTTCCCCAGTGCATAAAGAAAGGTCCATAAATACATGGTTGGATGAGTTTGGTGTAGAAGAGGTTGACTGGCCCACACAGAGACCTGGCCTCATCCCCAACCCTTTGGGATCAACTGGAATGGAAAGTGGAAGCCTTCTCGTCTAACATCAATGCCTGACCTCACAAATTCTCCAATGGATGTATGGGCAAAATTACTTCAATCCCACATAAGGATAACACATTGGGGATCATATGGATGAGACAATGTGATGTCATACTATGGGTGGAGTATATGGGGTGTGGTTTTTCTGATGTCACATCATAAGTGGAGCGTTAGGGGGCACTGCTAAATTTTGCTGATTTCTAACCCTCTTTATTAATATTTACTCCACACCTGCTGCCATTGAGAGAGGGAACTGGTATTGCCGCCCCCCCTCTTACCCCCCACATCCCCCCACCATATTATTAGCGGCCCCATCTTCCCTCATGGCCTTTAGATGATATTATGGCCTGTATCCCAATGTCCAGCTGCCTCTCCTATCTATATGACAATGTCTTTACAGACATTATTTCCTTTGGATAAGTAAAAGTGGCAAGCCAAGAGGGGATTATAGGGATTTGTTACATAAATCAATCTGCCTATGAGGAGCTAGCAGGGAGGGACTAGGCTAAATGTAGAGAGAACCACTGCCTACTCACTGACCTCTGCTAAATTACAATGTTAGTAAAAAAGCAACAGAAGTCTGTGACCATTGTTTGTACTCTGAAAGGTAAATTTAAGTAAACAATTTAGTTAGTTTATAGGCTTAAAGGAACACTATAGAATTAGGAATACAAGCATGCATTAGATTAGATTTATGTCACCAAGGTTTAAAAAAAAAGAAAGCATTTTAACTTATCTTATATCCCACTGTATGCTGATCTCCTTTTGACCTCCCCATCAATCCTGATAAGCTCAACCAATCCTTTGCTTACCCATAGCGTTAGGAGGATACTGTGCGTTGCGGCAATCAGCATCTCCTCGTGGAGTTGCATTGAATCTCCATGGGAGTATTCAGGGCCTTGAGGGAGAACATATTTCCAGAAAAGATTGCAGGACCTCGTCCAGGAAGTATCTCTAGTTGTCAGAGTGACAGCCACTAGAGGTGCCCTTAGGTAGCAATGTAAATGCTGCCTTTTCTCAGGAAAGGCAGTTTCTTCACTGATGACCATGCAAGGACAGTCTATATACCACAGAATCATTAAACTAAACTGTAGTGACTTTAACAGTTTACAGACTTAAGATAAAGCCAAGCATAAGTAGTAAAATTTACAAAATAGCCATCTGACCTACCTGCAGACTGTGCTGGCAGTGAAGTGGTCGTGCTAGTCGAAGAGAATTTCAGCTATTTCTGTTGGGTGAGTGCCAGACACACCAGCCAAAGAATATCAAGGTAGCTGGCTTGTCCAAACAAAAAGGGATTGTACATGTGATTATTTCATTTACTCCCATACCATAAGCCAAATAGGAACCATGACAATATAAGCTATGTAGCAACAAATGTCTCTAGAAATACTAATGCACACGTTGGATATAGCAAACAGAGTAACTATATGTGGTTGTGCAATGTATTTATGTAATTGGAGTTTATTAATTCTATGAGCCAAATTATTGCTATCACTATTGAAATGCATGCCAATAATAATGATGGCAGCATAAAATGTACTAAATGTAAAAATAAAGTATCTCCCTGGACTGAAAAGGAAGGGAGGGCATGACTGCAGGCCAGCAGTAAGAGGGGGTGGCTATGTTGTATACTTTGTTGCAAAAGGAAATATAAAGCACTTCAGAGGAGGGGCGATATCAGTTTCTCAGTAAAGTTAGGAGTGAGATCGAGCTAATTTCCCGCCCACCCTCCCTATAGTGCTGTGACTGTGTATTGCGCTTGTTCTGGTATGTTTCTTGGGTCTTGTTTTGTTCTTTCTTCTCGTTGTCACAGCTGCAGCGGTGTTCCTGGCCAGCGCATTGGTAATTGAAAGAAATTGATGAGTCAACTTGGGGACTCGCAGCCTGCCGAGGGCTGATGGCGGTAGGCAGGCTGATATGAACTCATGGACAAAGAAGTGGTATCTGCCTGTTGGGAGAAGTCTCTCAACAGCTGGCCGTTGGATGGAAAGCTGGTCTGTGTTAAAATTAATAAAGTTGTGGCCGTTGCCCTTACCCATAACTATTGTGTGGTGTTATTATTTACGTAGGGCAAAGGGGGGTGGGTTTTTGGATCAGCAGTCAAGAAAATATTAATGGTCTGTTAAATTTTATAAAGTTTAGTTTAGCCTACTAAACGGGGGCTGCATATAGGGGGACATTCACAAAACTGTGTACTATGTTCTATTCCCTATCCAGTATTTAACTCACTGATAAAAATGAACAAATGTAAAGTTGTCTTTCACTGAAATCGATAAATTTTTCTGGATTTCAGCATTTAACTAGACACATTGTCACAACAACACAGTAAACAAATTGTGGGGCTGAGTTTTTATAGTGGCGAAATCAGCAGGATCATTGCATACCTAATGATACATGTTAAAGCAGTCACTTCTCTGGTAAAGAAATTACTAGGGTGAGTATGCAGCTCTCACAGGCAATCACCACAATCCCATTTGTATGAAATTCACATTGATAACACATAAATGTTAATTATGCAATATCTACGTGGCCATGGAAAGACGATCTCCAAGTGCCATTCCTAAACGGATTCACAATAAATGGAAGGCAATGTCAGGGCCCTCTAGTCAGTATAACCAATACAGCAAACTATTGTACTTCTATCACTTTAATTGTTCCTTAAAGGAACGCTGCAAGCATTATAACCACTATAGCCTTTTATGGTGCCAGGAATGTTGTGGCACCCTCATACAGTAAGTAATCAAATAAGACTCATAACAAAGGCCCCAGTTTTGACAGTAAATGTCCATATTGTAAATGATAAGGTGCTAGGTTAGGATGTTCAACAAAGAAGAAATATGTGGAATCAATCATTCGCTAAGAAGCAACCTAGTTCAAAGATTTATAGATTTGGCAGTTAAATATTTACCTAGGCATCGTCAATATTTTTCCTTGGCCTAACAGATCTTATGGTTCAAAGGAAGAAAAGCCCATACTTGCCTCTTGTTGGGCAATCAAACAATTTTGCTGCAAACAACAAACAATACTAAATGACAAAATAAATGATTCACTGATGGGCTTCCAATCAGTTCAAAGACGTAATTGCATAAAGCAATTAAACATTTTTCAAACACGCCCAGTGGAAGCTAATGTGTAATGTGCATTGAGTGTGGATAAATCAACAGCTATGTAGATAAAGTTTCTGATGATTACCCAACAGTGTCAAATAAATTCCAGTTACGTACTTGTAGTCTGTAAACAAGTTGACACCTCAGAGGGAATTTGTAAAATTATATCATGTTATCTGAAACGCAACCCTGACAGTCACTTTTTATAAACTACAGACTGAGCTCTCGATTGCTTTACCACACTCGTTAGGCACATACCTGCATCACCAAATGTGCTCTTCATCTATATCAGCAACCATGGATTAGACTGAGACAACAATTTGCCCTGGGCATTACAAAGCAGCCCAATAAGAAGTACATGGTGGAGAGGGGTCATGTTTTGTCATCGCCATGTCAGTTTGATGCTGTCCCCTGCAGACCACACGCACAGTCCTGTTGTCGAGATGATACTTGTGGCTTGCATGTGTGTTGGTGAGGTTGTTTGTCGTGTGTACATGTGGACATTACAAGACAAACAACCTCAACAACAGACAGGGCTGTTTGTGGGGTACTGTGTGTATAAGAGCTGTGCTTTTTGGGGGGGATAAAGGCTTTAGTTTGTGTTAGGGCATTGTAGCTGTAGTGTCTGGGGGCGTGCTAGTGTCTGTAATGTGGGAGGATAGTAGCTGTAGTGTGTGAAGGGAAAGGGGCAGTAGCATATGTAAGGAGATATTGGCTGTAGTGTATGTGTGGGGTCATTTTCTCTAGTATGTGTGGGGTACTAACTCTAGTGTTTATGTGGTCATTGGTTTTAGTGTGTATGGTGGGTAGTGGCTGTAGTGTGATGGGGGGATAGGGACTGTAGTATGTGTAGTGGTTATTTTTACAGTAGAAATGTCACAATTCATGTATTGATCAATTTTAGCTAATTATATGCCAAAATGCTTATGTATTAAGAAAATAATTCATCCATAAATTAAATGGAAATGCATATTTTCTTGCAAGGAATCTTCTAGCACATAAAATATACTGGATAATCAGAGGTCATTATTTATAAACTCAAACTGAATATTTTCACTGCCGAGTCTCCAGTCTACTCCAGTGTATGTCTTAACAGTAACCGAGTGAGAGAAAATATAACATAAATAAGCCAATCAATACACAGAAGTTGAGAAAGATATCAAATTAAATACAAAAATGATACATCAGGGTTATTTTTAAAAGCCACACCCAATCATAATGTCTTAAATAACTGTAGAAAGTCCTTTCCAGTGTCAGATATGACTACAATATAAGATTATGTACATATGTAAACATGCATCAGAGTACTGGTTCACTAGAATCCCAGTCTGCCCAAAGGCATCAAAGGAAACCTATCCAATTTTCAGAGAATAGAAACAATGGATGGAATCAGAAGATTTTCTCTTGGTGTACACTCTTTTTTCTGAGATGAGTATCCTACAGCAAAAACCATGTTTATGAATAGTAACATTTCCCACATATGAATAATACTCCATAAAGACTTATCAGCAAAAACATGATGGGTCTACGTAAATGTAAAGTCCTTTTTGGGATTCATAAAGTCATTGATAATCAAGAGTTTTTGCAACCAATCCATGATAAATCCTCTGCCCATTTCCCGGAAGCAGTAACTCTCAGATTGTCCTGGTCAAACATCCAGTACTTTTCACCTTTAAAAAAGTAGATAGATCCATCTGGATGGGTCAACACTGCTGTAGTCTCAGTAGGGATGCCTTTCCAGTCCTTTAAGCTGCGTGGGTAGTATGGCTCCACAGTCAGTGTTTCCTCATTTATCACATAATACTTTGTTCCCTTGAAGATAACCAGGTGCCCAAGTGGCTGGAAATATAAGACTGTATCAGGATGTTGAGGAAGACCATAGTCACTGCACTTTTGAGGAAACCCAGCCTCTAGTTTAGATTCTTTGTACCTCCAGCATTTCGAACCTACAAAAGTAGCGACAACAGTTTGTAAATGAGGTTTATTTGCAACAATATCAAATAAAAAATTAGACGAAAATTTAAACGAAGACTCCAGGCACCCTAATAACATCTAAATTAAACCATTATGGGGTCTGAGGTCCTGGGAGCCATCCTAACTTATGGAATTAAGTGTTTTTAAGGGGTTTAACCCCAAAATTGCCCTTATAGCAGTGGCGGATCCGGTATCCTTAATATGAGCAGAGACTGCTGGGAGGAAGTGACTGTTACTTCCTCCTAGCTTAAAAACTGGGAGGGCTGGGAGTACTGAAAAAAGGAGGAGGGAGGACAGAGAGCTCTACAGGCAAGCTCCCATCAGCATCAGCCAGCCCCAGGAGTTCATCTCCCTGCAACCAAAAGGTATGGAAGCAGGGGGTGGTTAATAATGTCAACTGCAATTTGCGTGTGCCAGTGTATATGTTTAGGTATGTGTGTGTGTGTGTCACTGTGTGTATGTGTGTATCTGTTTGTGTGTATGCGCAGGTATGTGTGTGTATCTGTGTGCCAGTGTGTGTATGTATGCATCTGTGTCTGCGTGTCAATGTGTATCTGTGTGCCAGTGTGTGTATGTGTTTTATCTGCGTGTGTATATAGGTATGTGTGCCAGTGTGTGTGTTTATATAGGTATGTGTGCGTGTGTATCCTTGAGTGTCAGTGTGTATCTGTGTGTGTAGTTGTGTTTGTGTGTGTCTGCGAATGTCACTGTGTATTTGTGTGTGTGTATCTGTTAGTGTCAATGTGTATCGGTGTGCCTGTGTGTGCCGGTGTAGGTATCTGTGTGTGTATCTGTATGTGTGTGTAAACTGTGTATGTGTGTGTCTGCATCTGTGTTCCAGTGTGTGTGTATATGTGCGTGTGTGCCAGTGTATGTGTGTGTATCTGTTTGTGCCAGCGTGTGTGTGGGTATTTGTGCATGTGCCAGTGTATGTGTGTGTATCTGTGTGCCAGTGTGTGTATCTTTGTGTGTGTATCTGTGTGCCAGTGTGTGACAATGTGTGTATGTATAGGTATGTGTGTCACCGTGTTTATTGTAAATCTATGTGTGTGACAGTGTGTATGTGTATCTGTGTGTACCATTGTGCGTATGTGCAGGTATGTGTGTGTATCTGTGTGTGTGCATCTGTGTGTGTGGCAGCCCCCTATCCATACACTACAGCCCCCTATCCTGCTGCTAAAGCCCACCACCAGTGAGCCTCCTGAGATTTGGTTCTGGAACTGCCCTTCCTTCACAGTGTATGTTACTTTCTAGATCATTCCTTGCTCTGGGTGGTCAGTGATAGGCTGACAGCATCAGCTGATGCTCACAGTTTATCACCAGGGCTGAAGGGAAAAACATGCATAGCAGTGCTGGGATCAGAGGAGGAAGCAAAGCGCATGATGGGCAGATGGGTGCTGTGAAGACAACTTTTGGATTAAACTACTGGAAAACAGTCTAACTCCATGTGGTTGAAATTACGTTCCTATAGGGCCTGGATTGTTTCTTTAATGTGACAATTAGGAACTGACACAAGGAGATGAGGACTGGTAGTGGATGCAATTTTACCACATGACAGGAGGCTTCCTATTTTGCATATAACTCTCTTTACTAACTCCACATAGCAGTAAAGAAAAAAGTGAAAACGATAACCAATCAAAATGCAATATGCTGTATGGTATTCACAGTGATGAGGCTCCTCCCCCTCTTTCTTTACTGCTCCATCAGCAGACAGGTCAGAGTTTCAGCTCTTCCTCTTCATTACTGTTTGTTTGACTAAATATATTGTACCTTTAACTTTAACTTAATGTTATTTATATGACTATTGCATCCTATCCTATATTCTGCTCTTTATCTCTTTCCACAGGGACTCCTGTCCCTGTATTCTCTGTCTCCCCTTATCTGTGGGGCCCTTTTTCTAGGTTCTTTCCTCCGCCGGCTTGGCGACCGTTTTTCTCGAGCTATCCGCCGCCCAAACGGCGGATTGCTCATTCCAGGACACCTTTGGGGTAACGCTCACCCCTTTCATCCACCCTCACCCCGCGGTCTCTCGACCGCGCACATCCCGACCGGCGCTCACGGGATTTTCGCTCCCGGCGCCGGCCATCTTGGATCTCGCATCTCGCGAGATCCACGGCCGCAATTTTAAGCCCCACCGAGCCACTTGCAGACAGTGCCTGGCTCCTACTTACACCCGGTCACCCTCAAACACGTCCCAGACATTCTTCTAGCAAGTGTGTTGAAGGCAGGGGTCACAAGGTCAGTTAATTCAGTCTGTGTACTAAAGCACAATAGGGTTGCAATACCCTGTGCTCTTGGGGTACGGCCCCTAATATTTATGCTGCTTATGAGGTGTGACTATACATCCTCCATATACCTGGGTGCGGCCCAGTGAAAAAAAAACAAAAAAAAAAAAACAAATATACCCTGCTGGGGTTACAGGTACTGCTGGTACCACGTGCTTTTACCTGAGTCTTTTATTATTACACCCTGCTGGGGGTTTTGGTACTGCCGGTACCACTGCACGTAATTATTATTCGCCCTGCTGGGGTTGAACTGGTACTGCTGGTACCATTATTAATACAGACTGACCCCTGACCCTATCTGCGCCCTGTGCCAAGTAAAAAAATTTTGTGGTCAATATTTTCATCATGGATTCTTCTCAAAACACTGCTGAATTTCAAAATATGATCAGTGAGGCTATAGCGGCCTCGATGGAGAAGGCACTCTCCAGGGTTCTGACGGCCTCTGCCGAACAGAAAATCCCTGCTAAGGTCCAGCAACAGGACTACGATTCCGAGGCTTCGGAATCACACACACAAGCCGATACTCGGCCCTCTAAACGCCACTGGAAGGGCGAAAAGGGGAACGCCAACCCCGACAAGGGCAAGACCCCTATGAAAAGGCGTAAGCCAGCTCCGGCTGTCACTTCCCCAGGACGCAATTACTCCTCAGACGAGGAGGGGAGACACTCACCACCCATGGCGATTTTGGACTCATGGCAGGCCATGGATTCCGATTCCCAAGAGGAAAACGCCTGGGACTCGGAAGATGAGTCACGCCCTGGTTTCCTACAGGGCACCTTCCTAGACAACATTCAACTGCCGGACGACCCGGCACAAACGCAGGACGAAGGCGAAACCATCCTGGACCCCTCGGGCCAGCGATTATTCGACCCACGGAACATTCGACACCCGCGTTCAGGGGACTGGACACCCCCCGAACACCTGGCGAGGTTCATGCACAAGTGGCTACGCAAACCATTGGATAAGACGGTCCGCAACCGCTTGCGTTCCGAATGTCCTCGCCCCTCACTACCAGATCAAGTGGCTCAGACCCCAGAATTCGACCAGGTCATGACCACCTTTATGTCTCGGGGTGGTCGGGATCCCCGTAAAGGGGTGGAGAAGGGTTTCCATAGCGCACAAGACAAGTTGCTGGATGCGATCGGCCCCCTCTCCCGCATCATGTACTTGGCGGATGACGCCCTCACCCGAGCTGAACAGTTTGATACCAACATGGTACGTGAATGGGCTCACGACGTAAGAGAATGGGCGCAACGCTGTTTTTGTTTTGTTGGCAATGCCAACGTGGCCCTCTCCTCTGAGAGGAGGAAAGCAGCATTACTCCCTTACACGGAAAGCTGGTGGATTTGGGCACCAGAGAATTAGGACCACTGGCACAGGGCAAGCTGTTCGGGGATGCTTTCCTGAAGGACCTGAACAGACACGTGAACATGTTCACGTCGCTTAACAAAGCTCAGACCACCATGAAGCGGGTCTTCAGGAATAACCCTAACCGGGGCGTTTTTGGACGGGCTGGCCGCTACAGGGGCCGTGCAGCCAGCCGCTTTTGGCCTTCAGGCCCCCGCTCACAAAGACCTCAACCATTCTACCCGGAAGTTGGCTACAGACAGCCTTTCTCCTACACCAGGGGAGCCGACCGAGGTCGTGGTTCAAGGGGCCGTGGCAGAGCACGCTTCACCCCCACAGGTAAGCCGATATGTGACTCACGTACCCCTTACTTCACAAACGGCAGGTCGTATTGCTCTCTATTTTCAGAATTGGACAACCATTTCGACGGACGCATGGATCCTGCAAACCGTACAGGGCTACGTCATAGACTTCGTGGGCCACCCGAACCAAACGGTACCTCCTTACCCCGGGACATGTTCCTCGGAAGACCATCGACTCATACAAATCGAGTTGGAGGAACTCCAATCGAAAGGGGCGATAGAACCCGCTCACGATCAGGGGGGATTTTTCAGCAACATCTTTCTGGTAAAGAAGAAGACCGGGGAATTCCGTCCGGTCATAAACCTGAAAGGCCTCAACGCATTCGTCGTATACAGGCACTTCAAGATGGAGGGCATACATCTTCTGAGGGACCTCCTCCAAGACGGGGACTGGTTCACGAGACTGGACCTCAAGGACGCGTACCTCTCGGTACCCGTCCACATCGACTACCGCCGATTCCTCAGATTTCGGTGGCAAGACCGGCCTTGGCAATTCACGTGCCTTCCCTTTGGACTCAGTTCAGCCCCGTGGTGCTTCACCAAATTAATGAAGCCAGTAGTCGCACATCTTCGAGCACGAGGGATTCGTTGCATTATTTACCTGGACGACCTGCTTCTATTCTGCTCAGACAAGTCCAGACTGACTCAACACACACAATTTACCGTAAACTTCCTGACATCACTGGGCTTCGTGGTCAATTTCCTGAAGTCAGAAATGTCTCCAGCTCAGACGGTGCAGTTTTTGGGCTTCGAAATAGACTCCAAGTCCAGCACGTTACGCCTGCCGACGACAAAGATCGCGGCCATCAAAAAAGAATTACGCAGAGTCATTCGCTGCCAATCCATTCCGCTCCGCAATCTGGCCCGGATTGTGGGACTACTATCCGCGTCCATACAGGCCATATTCCCGGGACCCCTGCACTACAGAGCAATGCAACGCCTGAAGACCTCCTTCCTGCACCGGAACCCGTCTTACGACCAAACTATCCCGATTACGGAGGAGGTAAAGGAGGAATTCAGATGGTGGCTAGACAGCATGGAGGCATGGAACGGCCGAGCCATCTTCGGGAGTTCGCCCGACATAGTTCTGGAATCGGACGCCAGCCTTTGGGGCTGGGGCGCGACGGGCGAAGGCAAGTCGACAGGAGGCGCCTGGACTTCTCAGGAAATCGACCTACACATAAACTGCCTAGAACTCCTAGCAGGCTCATTCGCGATTCGCAGCTTAGCAAAGGACAGATCGAACTGTTGCATCCTCCTCCGGATGGACAACGTCTCCACGGTTCGATACATCAACCGCCTGGGCGGAGCTCGGTCCCGACTGTTATCCGAAATAACGAAGGAGATTTTCAACTTCTGCTTGCCCCGCAACATCTCCCTCAAGGCGGAATACCTTCCGGGGGAGACAAATCTGACGGCAGATTGGTTTTCACGCCATTGGCGGGACAGCAGCGACTGGAGACTGGATCCTCAGGTCTTCCAACGCCTCTTGAGCAGGAGAGGTCCCCTCCAACTGGATCTGTTCGCATCTCGCAACAACAGACAGACACTCAACTACTTCAGTTGGCTCCCGGACCCGGAGAGCGCGGCGGTGGACGCATTTCTCCAATCATGGCCAACCGAGGGAGCATATGCCTTTCCCCCGTTCGCCATGATAGCGAGGACGATTCAATACCTGAAGAATCAACACGGATCTCTAGTCCTCATCGCTCCCCTATGGCGGGGCCAACCATGGTTTCCGGACCTCCTGGCACTGTCCTACGCCGATCCACTTCTCATACCATCCTATCCGATGCTCCTCACGGATCCGAAGGGGAACCCCCATCCTCTCATCCTCGAAGATCGCCTCACCCTGGTGGCTTGGACGCTTTCAGGGGAGCCTGGCAAACCTGCGATTTATCGCAAACGGCTAGAGACCTCATATGGGATTCCTGGGCACCTGGGACCAGACGATGCTATCTATCAGCTTGGAGCTCCTGGGCCTCTTGGTGCAGTATACGGAACTTCGATCCATTTACGGCACCTGTAACAGCCATTCTGAATTTTCTTTCACACCTTTTCTCTACGGGTCGCTCCTACCGCTCGCTTAACGTCGTGCGCTCGGCGATTTCGGCGGCTCACGTCCCGAACTTAGGTATTCCCGTTGGGAAGGACCCTCTGGTATGCCGTCTCCTGAGGGGTATCCGATTACAGAGACCACCAGGACCTAAGTACTCCCACATGTGGGACGTGGAGGTGGTCCTACGGTTTCTGAGAGATTGGCCGACTAATGACAGACTGTCTCTCAGACAACTCTCGGCCAAACTGACCCTCTTACTTTGCCTCGTTTCCTTCCGTCGGGTTTCGGACGTGCGTGCTTTCGACATCAATGCCTTTTCGGTGTCCCCTGAGGGAGTTACCTTCCGCGTATCACGACGTACCAAATCGGACTCTACGTCGGTCTTTTATCCCTTCTTCGCTACTGAACCGCAGCTATGCGTCGTCTCTACCCTGCATCAGTACGTGGAGACCACTGCCTTGCTTCGGGCCTCTGCCTCGGGACAGTTATTAGTATCCTATGTCAGGCCACACGTTCCCGTTTCGACTACCACACTCGCCAGATGGGTACGATGGATCCTATCTCTGGCGGGTGTGGATGCTAATTTCGGTGCACACTCAGTGCGCGGGGCGGCGGCCTCCTCGGCTTTCTCGGCAGGCGCGTCCCTGGCGGATATCCTTCGGTCAGCTGACTGGTCGAGGGAATCTACCTTTCGGACATTCTACTTTCGCCCGAGTTCAGGTGCGGCTATGTCTCTTCTACATCAGCGTTAAAAAATGCAAAATAGGAAGCCTCCTGTCATGTGGTAAAATTGAAGATTATGCTAGCGTTAGTGTACTTATAATCTTAATTTTAGTAATGACAGGAGGCGAGTATTTTCCCACCCTTTCCCTCCCTTGGGAAGAGTGGATGCACGTAAGTATATTTCTATATCCCGTTGTCTTATCTGGTATCTATACCTTCGTCTCCTCTTGGTTTGGGATCTGTTATGTTCAGGTTATTATGCATTAACCTTTTAACCAGGGGGTCTCATATTGCTTTATTATGTGGGGTCGATACTGCAACCAGTTGAAAGATCGGTGCCTAATCCGTTTCACGTTCTCGTTTCAGTTTAAATCCACGATGTTCACAGATCCTTCTCAGAGTGGACACAGTTGAATCATCCTTCAGCTCCTGGAGCCTCGTTAATGGGACACATCAACCGCTGCACGTTGCAGGACACTCTGAATCAGTTCGCACCCCGTGAAAGTCTGTTTTGTCGATGGGAATCACACGTTGGTGCACGTTATACATGTTTGGACGTTATTGTTTCTTGAGTTTTGCCTGATGTCGCTTCCGAAAGAGGGGGAGGAGCCTCATCACTGTGAATACCATACAGCATATTGCATTTTGATTGGTTATCGTTTTCACTTTTTTCTTTACTGCTATGTGGAGTTAGTAAAGAGAGTTATATGCAAAATACTCGCCTCCTGTCATTACTAAAATTAAGATTATAAGTACACTAACGCTAGCATAATCTTCAATTGTCCCCCTGAGTGCTTTAAAGGTGCAATCTGACCTGGAATTAACCCATTCTATATATGCATTATAATTCAGATAAATAGTAATAGCAAATAGTATAATATAAAACAATAAATGATAAAAAAAAAAAAAAAGAAAAGACACATGCATTGGAAGTTGCTACAGTTGCAACAAATCCCCAGGATTAACAGGTTTTGTAGCATTAACAAGACAGGTACCAGCTTCTGAGTGTGTTCTAGTGACCTTCTGTTGTATATGCTGAATTTATCCCATAAACTCTTTCACAGCAGAGCCTCGGGGGCAGAGCATGGGCTTCTAGGAGTTGTAAGTCAGGAATCTGAACTCTTCTCAAGAAAGCAGTTAGTGGAACTCCAACTTCCAGAACATTTACTGTGCTTCCTAGTGACATAAACTAGTTGTGTCAGCAAAGCAAAAATGCAAACACTGCATGATGGGAGGGAGGGACAAATATGTCCGACTTATGGAGCAAAGATCTTTATCCATAAAATGTACCGTAACCTAAACATTGCACTATATGACAGACAGATTGAGAGATACACAAGACAGTATTTTGGTGAGCCGCACGTGCTGTGTTTTGTTTAGTTATATCAATGTGTCTCGGTTAAGTACATCTGTTTCAGATATCTATTTCGGGGACACTAGTCTGTCTGGATTTGCCATCATATCTAATAGTGGCCAATCTGCTGTGTGTTTTGTCTACAAACAGTTGTCATTGCTTAGTTGCACAAGTCAAGTCCCCACACATCAGATGAGCAACAGAAAACAAGCCTTTAAAGTTAATGTTTAAAAATGAAAAGTTAATTACATAGTTAGCAGAGTTAAAGGTTTCATCCCTCAAAGGCTGATTTTGTATTTTCCTATCAGGGAAAAATCCATGAATGAGAATTAGCACTGAGTGACATAATGAAGAGTTAGTTATGTGAACCCTAATTAAAATATTAAGTATTTAGTGGTTTAGCCTGTCACTAGAAAGCTTGAATCACTGAACGTTTTGTAAAATAAGTAACAATAATCCTCTAATGCAGTTCTATGGATTTTTAAAATTCCTTTCCTGAAATATTCTGTATTATTATTGAATAATACCACATATGGATACATTGTTATTTCACATACTTTTAGTACAATAAAAATGAACTCCCCCAAATATAAATACAGTATACATAATCAAGTAAATAGATATATAAACATATTGAATGACACTTTTGTAAATTTACCTTGTTACACACCCTGGCTTTCAAATAACCACTTCGTTACTTCTTGGTTTGGTTAGCTCAGTAAAGCTAAACTCAAGAGGCAGCAATTGCTCAGAGCACCTGCCTTGCAAAGACTCCTCATTGAACTGCATTGGGAAGTCTGTGATTGGACAGCCACATAAAGTCTGGGCGGGCGAAGAAAGGGAGGGCTCGCAAAGCCTACAGACAAGAGATCTGCAACTTTTGTAAGCTGTTTTTGGTTTTTGATGTACCCTCAATTAAAAAATATGCATAATTAAATGAATGCATCATTTAATTTGGGTGTATCTACTAAACAGTGATTTATTTTTGGGTAGGGGAGGGGTGGCAGTAAAGTTTCACTTCAAATAGCCCCACTAATTAACAATGTTAATGTTAGGATCACTATGAGAAATATTACATTTAAGCACAGACTCTCACAGAGTCTCAGCATCACTTGACCAGACCCAGCGGTAATATCAGATAAAATAACTGAGAATAGAAATTGTGCAGCACTACATAATATATTGCTGATATATAGATAATAATAATCTGGAGTGAATTTAAAAATAAATATCACAACTTTGCTTATTATCAATAATAATAGAATGAATTAAGTCAATTGTATACTTTGTTACATCTTTGTTTCCGAACGTGTTTCTTTTTTCTGACAGAAATAACTTTACACGTATGAAGGAAAAATAATTGTGTCCCAGTTCCACCATTTTTTTTTTTTTTTATTCTTTATTTTAGAAGTGCAGGTTTAAACATCATTGCAGGCAGTGCCACAACAGCAGCTGCGTTGCACATCATAACATTTTATAACATTAGAGTGGCATACTGTAGCATATATCAGCACAATTTTATTGTTATTTTGTGATATCGTTATCAGCAGGTTAATCCACTATGGTGTTCAGGAGTGAGAATGCTCTAGTGCGAATGTTCAATGGATATCGCAATCCTATGTGTGGGCGGTCGTGTGTGTTTGTGGATGAGGGTTTAATATAGTGAAAGATTTTGGTAAGTAGTTAGAGAGTAGTGGACACTGGACTCGCGATCCCTGTGGAAAGGGCGGTTGAGTATGGTCAGTAGCTAGGGGGTTTCGCGGGTCTCGTTCCTCTTGCGGTGTTTGAAAGTATAGTTGCGTGTCCGCTGAGTGGCAAGAGGTCGGCACTCACTCCAATTATGTGTTAGTGCTGCTAGACAGAAGTAGGTGAGTGGGGGGGAGGGGGGTAACAGCGGGAGTGTACTCCCTATGTCAGCATGCATCTGAAGGTAAGGGGATGCGTCCCTAGGAGTATGGTATTTGTGTCAGTGTGAGAGGTAAACATCAAAAAACATCAAAAAACAGAGCAAGGCAAAAAGAGCGAAAGCAGTGTAAGCCATATAGCAGGCAACATCATATAGAAGAATAAAGTAAAGTCACTGGTTTCAGTCCATGGCTGTTCAGGGCACAGCAGTTGTGGCGGGATCTTCCCGCATAGCAGCAGGAACAAACGGGCGGACCCTTTCGGGGTCTCAGGCGATCCCTCCGGAGTGGTTGGAAGCCCAAGGGTCTGCAGCGTGCTGGGTATTTCTTCCGCCCCTAGTACTTTCATTGTCCCGGATTCTTGGGCGATCAGAAGGCTCCTTGGCGTTCCCCACCTGTAATGCACCTGGAATTTTGTGAGTGTTGACGTTAGTGGTTTCAGGGATCTCCTCCACTCTAAGTTTCTCTAGAGAGGTCCGGAAAGAAAGTCAGTTGGTGTTCCTCAAAAGAGAAGGGCGATTTGTTACGAGTGGCCGCCATGAACGCCTGTTTGTCAAGGCTGTTTCTAAAGCGGATTATGACATCCCGATACCCTCCTGTGGCATTTGCAGGTGGCGCTGGGAGTCTGTAGCTGCCGTCTAAGTGCATTGTTTTGGCTTGTTTGGCTGAAAATAATTGGGTTAGGAGCCTCCGGATTAGGTGAGGCAGTTCCGCTGTGGTAACTGTGTCAGGTAGGCCGCGGATCTTTACATTTTTCCAGCGCCTCCTATCCTCTGCTGCGGCCATGCGGTGCTGAATCTTAGCTTGTTCACCTTTCAGGGCGGCGAGTTCTCGCTCAAGTGTTACGAGCCTTGTCTCGTGGCCTGCAGTTGTTACCTCCGTGTCATGGAGGCGGGCTGAGACTCCTTTAATTTCATCCCGGAATGTGGAGATGTCTGTGGCAATGTTACGACGTAGTTCGTCTAGGAGGGACTTTAGGGTGTTCTCACCGGTTCCCAAGGTCGTCGGTCAGACCGTTTGTCAAGTCTCTTACTGTGTACCGGTGCCTCCAGGTCTCTCAGATCGGTTAGGGAAGCTTCGCTGGATGAGCACGACGGCCCATCTGTGAGAGGCGCCATGTCAGGCCTCATGGAGCCCTGAGGCCTCCAAAGGAGATCGCCGATATGGCGGTTGTCAGGGGTTTATCAGCCCGATATTTTTTTGATTTGCGCCCCATCGTGGTTACAAGCTGTAACCAGATTTTCAGGGCAAAACTTGTTTTTTTGGCTCTTTTGGCTGTTGTGAAGTCGGAGCTCCTGCAGGACGCGTCCATTCGCTTAGGCAGCTGGCTCCGCCCCCATTCACACACCTGGAGAGCTGGTGTGGATGATGGATCGGTCCCTGAGGGCTGGGGCTGCTGGGAGGCGTGCCCAGTTCCACCATTTTACATACAGGAACACGTCTGTATGTACTCGTTTCTATATTACTGCATATGGCTTCAGAGAGAGCTTGTAAGATTTGTTCTTAGAATAAAGTCACAGAGAGTGTTTAATAGTGAGTTGCAATGTTTTTTAAAATATTAATAATTTTGTGTCGGTAAAACAAACCCACAGAGGTCACGTCAGATTAAATCACTGACAGTCAAGGGAGACTGACCACACATATTGTTTACTGTGTCTCTCTTTCTCTATGCTCTGACACCATGGAACTAAACAGGAAATGTCATGGGAACCAATCCTAATTGCTAACAGCATTTACCATCAGAAAATGAGCTATTTGTTACAGTCACCATGAATTACAAGCTGAGTTATCTGGTTTTGCCTCCAGCATTAATTCCTCACAGCTGTTATATTCCAAGGGACTGTCTGCTAATAGAATGCTCATCAAGCTGCTGAAATGAAAAACTGTCTTCCAACTTTACTGTGACAAACGCTCCCTTACTTATAAATAGCAATAATAATGATAATAATAATAATACTACTATCTGCTCTACGATGTGTGTCTTCTTTTTTTTTTTCTTAACTGCTAATTTCCATACAAGGCATGGGATAGCCATAAAGGTCCCCTTTTACCAAAACATGTGGGTTTATCATCATGAAAATGTAGATTTAGAAAAATGATGTCAGTTACTATACTGACGCCATAAGCTAGCAGCTCTGAAACAAGTGTAGTAGCATTATGACAACAGTCATCAATACAGGGAGGGTCCATTGCTGCTCGCATTTATGTAATAACAAAGGGTAGTTTAGCCCACATAGATGAATCCTGCATCCTTAGGGTTGAGTTAGGGTTATTTTGAGTTTGCAATGTCCCCATAATGCTGCATTCTATCATAGCATTGAATTACGAGAATAATTAACCGTAGCTGGCAGACAGGGACTGGACTTGTGCATTCATTTTCAAACTGCAATTTTTATGAATTTGGGGCGATTGGTACGTAATCCAAATTCCATAACTCCAAATATAGAGTCCACATGGACGTATCACAAAACTAATGACATGGATAATGGACAAACAGTTTAATGTGATTTGTGAACAAGAGCGCTGTCCGGGGCACCAAAAAAGGGATGACTGATGGGAAAAAAAGATGAGTGGTATGTTAGGGTACCACCACTAAACAATGATTTTATTCACAGATCAAGTAATAAGTGACCAAGAGGGGGAAAAAAAAATCTATATTTATATATTATATAGTTTATAAATACATAATATATAAATATAGATTTTTCTTTTAACTGCACCTCCTTTTTTTTTACCTCTGTTGGTTACTTCTCACTTGATTTTTAGATGGGCGGAATATGAACCCATTGGTGTTTTTATTTCTCTTATTTATATATTTAGCAGTTCACTATTTGGCCAATTTTTGTACTCTATTGGTTTGCCCAAAAAATGTTTTTGTCCATCTTTCTTTATTCTTTAACCACATGGTTGTACAAGAAGCTCACACGAAAATAAGCAAATACAACCTATACATCAATGAATTTCAAGCGTGGTGAGCCACTATAAGCAAAACTAGGATTATGGGATTAAGAGATTTTATAATAATAACGAATAATAAAGAAAATTAGAACAAATATTAACTAAGCCTACCACCTCTAAAGGGTAAAGCTGGAGCAGAGCAGGTAGCACCTGATGGGGTTGGTAGGCTATGTACCTCTTGCCTCTCCTGGTAACAAAATGAGAGGCTGTCACCCACTGAAGTAGGCCATGTCAGAAAATACTCAAAACATTTGAAAGTGGGTGGGGAGGGGGAGGAGATTTTGGGGGGGGATAACCCCAAATACCAGCAGAAAATAATGGGGTGGGAAGTATTCCTAAGGTACACAGAGAAAAGCAAAGCTTAATAAGTGTCCAAACAATTTTTATCAAAATGATTGCATGGTCAAAATTCCACCTGAAGCATGGCTGAATTTTTGTCCATCCGAACAAAAAAATTTTTCAGGACAAACGGATTCGACCAAAACTGATCTTTTTGCGATGCATAATTCTAACAGGTACCCCTAAGTCTAAATTCCTTCAAACACAAAGTAACTCTAAGCCCCACTAACCCTGGGCCCTCTTAAGCAATGTATTTATACATATTACCATAGATGAATAGATAGATATACACTGAAGTAAAGACAGGCGTACTCTCTGGGAATTTTCCAAATAATGTATTCAAACAATCAACATTTTGACCCTCTTTATCAAGATCAGGACCCAGGAGGGTTCGAAATGTTGATTGTTTGAATACATTATTTGGAAAAGTCCCAGAGAGTGCTCCTGTCTTTACAGTGTATATTGGTGCTGGCACCCAGTTGATTGCTAATTCATTATGATTTTTGAGCTTTTGGATGTGGGTGAGTGCCAGAGCTGGGACTTGTACATATGAGAAAGTTGAGCCATAAGCAAAGCCTGTAGTTGTGGGAGGGGTTAACCGGCCTATAAATTCTCTGGCCGCCCCTTCCACAGGGTCGACACCGCCTGGCTCAGCGAACCAACAGCTCCCTTTATTAAAGCATTCACTTGGTAAGCCCTCTTTTTACAGGCCTACCCAAACGTTGGTTTTGGCACACCACAACTGACTTACACCACCGTTACATAACTCGGCTTATTGTTCCTGATCACAAATAGATATAAGTGTATATATATATATATATATATATATATATATATATATATATATATAGTGAGAGATTTGCAAAGATAAAACCACATGGAATATTTATGAGGTCCATCACCTTTGAAGAAGTAGAATTTGCCATCTGAACCAGACACAGCTGCAGCTTCAACATAGGCTGGTGGCCTTTTCCACCTGTGTTTTAGAATATGGGGCTCAGAGACATTCCCATTCAAGCTGACCGTCCAGAACTGACGACCTTTGAAGATGTAAAATAAGTTTTCCATATCTGTGCAGGGATCAAACAGTTACACAGTTAAATGTATATGTTTAGATAGGATAAACATATCATAAAAGAGCTTCATGAGAAATAAATGTAATACATACTTATGCTTTATGAAGGAATACAAGAAAATATTAACAAAAGATTTTGAGAGAAGTGGTTGGTCTGCAATTAAAGCATGTATACCACCTGCAACCATGCAAATTAGAGGTTCTTTTAGGGTTTATTTAATATTATTGGGGGTCCTAGGTTTATTCCCATATCAATAAAGTGAAAAATGGTTACCCATTAAATATGCTATTAAATGTACTGACCTAGGGCTGGCTGTAGGGAATGAATCTCTATTTTCACTAGTCCCTATCAGAGAATTCAATTGTTTTTAGTGGGTGAGCACTTTATTTTTTACTTAGGTATATACAATACCTGGAGCCATAGGCTACTGAGATCCCCTGAAAAAACAGCTGAAACGTTTTGGCCTCCAGCCCTATGTCCGTACATTTGATAGCATATCTAATGGGTAACCATTTTGCACTTTATTGATATTTGTGAATGGTGTATACATGTGTCTATTATGCACTTTTTGTTTATGCACTTTGTATTGTATATTAACTATCTGGTGTATTAAATATATCAAATAAAATCTTTTCTTTTGACATAAATTGGTGTGCTATGGGTTTCTTATAATTCTTATGTTTGGTCTTGATATATTAAAAAGATTTTTTCAATTTCTAGCACCCTGTTTCAATTAGTGCATGTCACACTTGCTGACCTGAATTATAGCTGAGTGCTTACTATATATTTTGTATGTACAGGACTCTGTTATAAATACCTACCCAAATACACATTACAGTATAATTGCTGCTGGACTGAGTGAGATACTCTTACCCAAAGCACATTACTGGGAGTTTTACTGCCATGGATCTCGACTGTGATACACATTTGCATTTTACTGGGAGTTTTACTGATGTGAAGCTCTAATGCAAATCCCACATTACTGAAGGATTTATTCCAGTGAAGTTTAGTGATACATTCAGACACCCCAAACAGACTAAGCTAATAGTAAACAGGAATTCAAACAGGAAAGGAGGAATGCAAAGAGGAGCTGAGGGATTGGTAGATGAAAGACAGGTTATCCTTCTAAATGATAATTGGGAGGAATCTAGTTGGGTAGTAGCAGATACATTGTGGGGGGAAGAAGACCTGTTGAGAAATGTCACCCAATTTCCATGTAATTCTGCTGGGTGGAGGTACTAAACAAGACTAAATTAAAATATGACAGCAGCATGGGGAGGGCAGATGTAGATCACCCAGTACCAGAGAGCAAACAGACAAAATATCAGCATGTGTTCATTATATAATAACATCTTTAAACTAGTGCTGCCATGGAATATAAGATGAATTATAACAGTGTACCCATTTGCAAGTTTGACCGTTCAAGTGCTTGTTTGTGGCAGGAGAGCATAAAGATAACATTTAAACGGAGTCTGATGGCGCTATATAAATAATAAAATAATAATAATAAACATGCCTGATTGTGTCCCCATTCATACCGAACTACTCAAAAGTGTAACACTAGACTAGGCAATGTTATTTGCATGTAATATGCACTCAGATGGCAATTTCTGGCAAAGGGACAATTTAGTACCAGTTTACAAAAGTGAATTGCATTTGAAAAAAAATTAGGGGTAAGTGCCAAATATATAGGCAAATAATACCAGTAACCTTATAAAGATGTTGTTTCTGTTAGGATGCTAGAGGCAGCGCTCAGAAAAGTGGCAAGCATGACGATTTGATAGTCAACCATTTGCTAACTCTTTCACAATTTACCTGGGGTCCACTGAGCAGTGCTCCCTGCCTCCTGTCTTCTGGTATTGGTATTGGTATTAGCTGATTGTTCTCAATCAATTATCCCAGCTCTTATTCTTGGGCCAGGGCACTATTGTGGTTATGTTTTTTTTTTTTTAAAGTAGTGTATTAAAGGTTTACTCCAAGCAACATGACCACGTCAGTGTCTTGAAGAAGTCATGGTGCCAGAAGTCTGTATGTGCAGTGTTTAATTTTGAAATGCTGCATATATGGAGTTTAACCCTTCTGGTAATGTCATGATGATTATACATGGGGCTCTTTGGTACCAGCAGGAATTTAACCCTGCTGGTACATTTAATGCATGATCGTCTGGGTCAGCAACAGATGTTAAAAACGCTGCACTGCTTGACAGCATAGACCATCGTGTGGTAGTGCAGGACTTAGGTAAAAGGAGGGATATTGCCTCCAGCTACAAACGCATTCTTGTTTTAAAGAGTACATAACAATAAAATTGCTTATGTTCACTAATCACTAAACTCCACAACAAAACACCCAGCTCTTTTCACCACTTACTTAGACACAGTGAGTGAACAGGACCAATAGAATTATGATTCTTTGGCCAAAAAAAAAAAAAATCACACAAGCACACCTACATCCATTATTAGGGGGATTTATTAGGTCTTTCCATTCACAAGTTGAAAGGGCTAATCGAGAGCCTGATCAGGCAAGATTAATATTAACAGGGGCTATCATAGTGGCAGCTCTAGGCTTGTGCTTGGAAATAGGCCCAAAGCAGCTACAATATAAATTTACATTTTTTCCCATTTATTCCCTGCTCCATTCGTTATGTTTTGGAATTGTCTTTTACATTCATCAACTGCTTTCCAGACAATGTGCAGCCATAAAACCAGATATGTAACTCTGCAATCATACTGCAATCACACAGGAGGGACAACTGGATCAAAGTTGTGTTTTCAAAACGTTACACAATATACTTTCTAACCCAGGTCCATGTAGCCCTAAATTCAGCGCTTGGCTAGTTCCTACGCATAAAATGAATAGGAACCCCAACACAGACAAAAATACAGATTTGCAAGAGTAGATGCTGCATGTGTGATGCTAAACAAGCATACCAAAACTCCCCAGGAGAATTCTCAAGTATTTGTGTAATGCAGATTGCTTAGCCAGCAACAGCTGAAATTAAAGGAGACCTGTCACCTGAATCCAGAGAGTATAACATCTGAATAGTTCATATGTTTAAGATAGTTTTAATGGTAAATCATTATGCTGTGGGCATTTTGACAACCTGTCTAAACAGGTCCCTTATTGCAAGCATTCTGCACCTTTATATTGTAAAGTGAAATGTACAGTCTATCACAAAGATGAGGCCGTGTGCATGCTGAAAAAAATTAAAGGGTTACTCCACTACCATGACCGTTTCTGCTTTTTAAAAGTGGTCATGGTGCAAGCAGTCTGCGTGTGCAGTGTTTTAGCTTTAAAATGCTGCCTAAACAGAGATATTACTACTTATGTGCCAGAGTGTAGTCATACCTCTGGCACAAGTGATCTAGTCCGGCATACTGTTAATGTTAATCCTGTGCATAAAAACCATATGATGTCAGCATGCAAAGCACACTGGTGATGGACTTAATCAGCATCTTCCCTTGCAGACAGTGCTGTGAGTGCACCTGCAATGTAAAGGCTTTAGTACTGTGTGCATGCAGCTCACACATACAGAGTCTTTTAAACTGCCCAATGCATTTACTATTGCTGATAGAGAAGCATCAGACTCAGTGCTTCGCTATCAAAATAATCTTGCATCTTGTACCAATAATTATTCTCCTTGGTTAGCATTTAATTGGACCTCGGACAGAGAACCAATGACGTGGAATGACATTGATATAGGTGGAGAGGGCTTCAGGGAAAACCCAGCACTGGATTAAATGTAAGTTTTTGCCCTTATTTTATTTCACTTAATTTTTTTTATTTAAAATTTTTTTTAAAAAGTGAGGGACAGTTAGTCCCAGTCATACACTAATACTTACAGCAGAGACACTATAGGTAATGCAACAACTTGATCATATTGAAGTAGTTAAATATCTTAAGTCCCTTGGCACTATCCTTCTGTTCATTGTTAAACCATCATGAATGTTTTAATGCAAAACAAGAGTCCCCAACATCCCTTCTGCACTGCTTGGGTTTATGGGGAAGCATTAGCTTGAGCAGCAATGGGGTACCTTCAAGGTGGAGGAGAGGGGCGGCAAGGGGATGTGGGCAATATTGGACCCTCATTTAATGTTAAACTGCTTGAACATTGTTTAACTGAATGGAGGGACAGCTTGAGGCAATTCTAGCACTATAATCAATGTAATGAGATAAAATTGTTATAATGGTTATATCCCGTTATGTCGTATAACAGGCACTTCACTTTGTATTCATAATTTTACACAACTGCATAAAATTCAGAAATTATATGTATCACTCTTGTGAACACCCGGATCAAATTGGCCAAGTTGGCTACTGTGTAATTGTTGCTATATATCTTACCCCATGTGATGGCATCAAAGACCGACTGGCAGTAGAATGGTTTTGTGTTTGCAGTGGTAAATCCTTCTACACCTTTTGGATTCCAGTCCTGAAAAAATGCAAACTCTTTCCCTGGGAGCTGCACCAATTTGCCACTCGGGGGAGCCCCTGATTCAAGACAACAATGGTAAAAAAGGCAAAAAAACAAGATAAAGCTATTTATTTTTCTCTTATTTCACATTTCTTACATAGCAACATATCCAAGGCATTTTACACAGATTGAAGATGACACGGTCATCAGTAAGCACATAAACATTAGAATCAGGCTAAATTAATATTCCCAACTGAGGAGAAGGAGAGATATCAACCAGTGTGATAAGTATGCTGATGGGTAGGAGGGATAAACATTCCTGAATAGTGATGTCAGATTTTGGACTGAGAGGTACTGGTGAGGAGGAGTAGATCAGTTGGGGTCAATAAGGTGATTAAATGAATAGGTGCCTCTATGTATCATACACACTACAGAGTACTAAAGTGGTTATGGTGCAAACAGTCTCAGTGTGCCAGGCATTACAGAAATATTGTCAAACCATTTGAGAACTGTCTGTCAAAAGTGGAGTTCTTCCTAGCGCCCGGTGACTAAATTCCTAGTATCAATTTCATCGAGCATGGATGACAGACATAGGCTACCATGGCTGTCCAGCTTTTTTGAAACTGACGTTGATATTAATTCAGTATATATTACAAGCAAGCAGGGCCAGTTTGTGTGCTTGGGACTGTCCTAGTTTTTTGTCAAATTTGCTTCCAAATGATTTGACATAAAAAAAAATGTGTGATAGTGCCAATAGCCACTTTGCTATACTGAGCTGAAGTGGTTATGGTGCATAGCGTGGATGTAACGAGACTTGCCAGATATGGGCTGGATGTGACTAGAGAGTGTTTTCAAGCAGTGAGGGACTAAAAGGGTGAATGAGTGGAATCAGGAAGGTAAAATGAGGAATAATCCTTTAGCAACAGAATTTTCCTTGGTCAGCATAATTTAATTTAACATATTAGTGAATGAGCTTAATAGGAAAATAAATATACCATTACAATCAATATCTCTATATTCTTATGTTGCAGTAGAGAATGAAGGCTCTCCGAGCAGCTTACCATACAGGTTTTGGATGGCTAGGATGTCATCAAAGTTCAACAGGTAATCTTTGCCCAGCTTCTTATAGTAAGGAGCCATAAGAGCATTTTTGAATGGCGAGTGCTGGAGCCCCAGGGTGTGACCAATTTCGTGTGCCAGGACTACAAAGAGATTTCGGCCTCGTCCATTCAATGACCAATGCTCAGCATTGTCGAAATGAGCTTCCCCCCGCCTTGGGAAAAAAGCATGAGCAAGTGCTCCACCTTTTAGGAAATTAAATGCTTAATTATTAGAACCTAAATATTACAGATACATTTTAATATATCATTTGCATTACTGACATTCAATAATTTATGTAATATCCAAGGAATATGTTTTTATTGCAGCAAGTTCAGATTGCTAATATTTGAGAGAGAGAGAGAGAGAGAGAGTGTGTGTGTGTGTGTATGTGTGTGTGTGTGTATATATATATATAACTGGGATCCAGATCCAGCCTGTTTGATCCATACCAACACTCCATTATCTTTGTACTATCAATAGGTAAAGCTCTATAGTATAATAGTTTATTAAGCCACTAATTATGTCAGGAACACAGAAACTAACTCAATTAAAACGATCCTGCTTCATGGCACTTCTGCAGATCAATGGGTTTCAGTAATCAATTAGCACAACAAACAAACAGAAGTCTTTTGACTTGATGACCTCTGACAATTCATCATAAGATGTAGAAAGGATCAAAGAGGGAGATCATCTACAACAGGGCTGTCCTTCTGTGGCCTGTGTGCTGCGTGTCACACTGCAGGATCTATTTTGTGGCCTGCGGACATATAAATATTTTTTCTGTTTTATATATTTTATGAGACATCACTAGCAATGCTTTCTATGGAGCTCATTCTCTCTCATCCACTGTGATTTCAGTGGTATCAGGACAATGACAGGTCTACTGTATAGGCCACTATTATTGCTTCTTATATCACATGGACCCTTTTTTGTGAGATGGACCTTTTTTGCTTCCATTGCTGGACTATATCTCAAAGAAAGTGCCATGCACAGAAAGTAGCAGATGTCTGTGCGATTAATCTATTATAGCTCCAATACCTGGGACAGACTTTGGAGCTGAATACTGGAGGATGAGAGAGTTAAATAATGGCCAGAAGCAGTGGGAAATAGCATTGGGAAGGTATGGGAGATGTAATGAGGAGGCAAATTAGAAACTGAGAGGGAGAATGAAACGGTGCAATGGGAAAAGAGTAAATAGAAAAGGCGGAGGTTAAAGGGAATAAAAGGAAAAAAGGGCATGAGGTATTGAGTGGGCATGTGAATGAGTAGAGAGTAAGGACCCTAGTGGAAGGTTTCATAAAAAGAGGAGGTGGTATAGTGCATGAATTTACAAGATGGAATGGGTACTGCATCAACATTGGAAATGGGATCAGGAGAAGAGGATGAGAACATTGGGTATTGAAAAATGTTAGGGAGACAGGGAAAGCTAGAGGGATATTTAATGAAAACAGGAAGTAGAAAAAGAAGGGAAGAGGAAGCAAATGCAATATGGATGGAGGGGGATGAGAATGGGTTTGGTGATTTAATAAAATGGCGAGATTTAATATGAATTGTAGAAGGGGAGAATGAGGGGAGCTGGAAAGACGATAGGAGAAAGATATGAAATTAGGACAGAAAACAGGATGGAATTAAGTGTTAAGGGGTGAGTTGAGAATGATTAAAAGATAGGTGATGGAAGAAGGTGTTTGGAGAGGGGACAAGATGAATGTGGAGTGGGTGAAATTATCAATTACAGTATTTTCATGGGGCTAAAAAAAAATCTGTGCCAATGAAATTGGACAGCATTACTCTCACTGTTCAGAATTAATGTTAAATAAATATAGCTATCTTGTACTGCAGGTGAAGTGTAAAAGTTCATGCTCAAAGAAAAAAGCTTACAAGGACTAATTGTTCAGCACCTGGTCCATCAAATGCGTTTATGGCTCCATCATTATGGTCCCCATCGAAAAATGCCAAACGAATGTCTGCTGCACCACTCATACTCTCCGAGAACGCCATAGAAGAGACATTACCCCACAGCTGGAACGCTGCTTTTACGGCTTGTCTCACCTGGTGCGGGGATAGGTACCAAGGCCAGTTGAGAATCTGATATGTCAGATGATGCTTGTACCATTTTTCTGTGTATGATAAATACAGAGACACATTTTATTTATAGATCTAGCAAAGGAATAATTCTCTCTAACATACATGCCGATTAAAAAAACCATCAATGTTTGCAATACAGTCTACAATCTGAAGCCACAAGTTTTATATCCAGCCGACCTTTCATCCTTGTAAAAGCCTCAATTTAATCAGCTTTCCAAATGATTGAATACTGTTAGAAAACTTTCCAAATTATTTATGTAAGAAATTCAGATGGACTGTAATGGTGACTTCTGAAGATAAACCATTTGGAAAGTTTTTCTAACAGTATTCAATCATTTGGAAAGTTTATTAAATTAAGGCCAAAGTTGGTAAAAGGAGTACAATTACATTGGACAATTGCTTTTACTATGGCAATGTAAAGAATGTAAAGTATAAGAATGATGTATTATTAGATTAAATAAATTAAATGCATTGGATGCTATCATTAAAGGATCACTATAGGGTCAGGAACACAAACATGTATTTCTGACCCTATACTGTTAAAACCACCATTTAGGTGGTTTGCCCACCCATAACCCCTTAAAAGGTAATACAACGTACCATATTTCCAGTGCCGCGTGGGTTACAATTTTTAGCCAATCCAATGCTTTCCCACAGCATATATTACCACATGGAAAGGATTGGATTGGCTGAAATTGGCAAGGAGGTGGGAGAGAGGCAGGGCGAAACTCTGGTTTGGCCAGTCAGCACCGCCTTATAGATATGCATTAAATCAATGCATCTCTATGAGGAAAATTCAGCATCTATACAACAATGCCCCTGGAAGCACCTCCAGTGGCCGTCTGAGGAGTGGCCACTGGAGTTATCCCTAGGGCGCAATGTAAACACTGCCTTTTCTCTGGAAAGTTAGTGTTTGCATGAAAATGCCTGCAGGGTAGTTGCAGTTGTTCTGGTGACTATAGTGTCCTCTTGAGAATGTACATGCTCACTGTGTATGTAGGATGTTTCTGGCTAGAAATATTTTACATGCAATTCACTAGTGACAACTCAACAAACAGAGATTAAATAAAATACCTTTACTTGAGCTTAACAAATAGTTAATTACTGCCAGATCTATGGTGATGATGTTCAGCATCTCACGAACATAATGAGTCAATCTGTCATTACACTCCCGAATGATAAGTACATGGAAAAACAATATACAGATAGTTGTCTTGAACAGACAAGCCCATAAAATGGCAAATGTAATCATGACTGCTTGATTTTTTTTTAATCTTTTCATGTCTGAACCTTGTTAGAACCATGTCCTAAAATAATTAACTATTGCATAAGGATACAAACATTGTTAATCATATGGCAAGAGAAAGCACAAGGTGAGAGAATCAAAGATTATGTCAGCCACATCTACAGGTACTATTCACTAGAAATGTACACAGGGAAAAAATTGATTTAGTTTAATTTCAGATTGAATCGTTATTTTCTTTTAATGTCGTTTCATCTAAAGGCCTTAATTTAATATTGTTGGATAGGCTTTTTAAATGATTTTATATTTTTGAATAAATGTTTACATAATTTCATGACAATTCTGATATAATTTGCTATATTGATACAATTGATACAACTCGCTATATAGATAAATTTTTATATATGATATATTTTTATATGTTGAAAAAAACATTTTAAAACTTTTTACAAAAACATCCAAAAATTTTATTATTTGGGAAACATATCCAATGTTAAAAATGTGTAAGTTTTTAACATTTCGATTCAAATACTTTTGAATTTTCTAATTTGAAGGGAGCAGTCACAAAGGTACCAAGGAAATTATCAATTTAAGGAGTTATCTGCTAAACTGCGGAAATATCAATATTAAGAAAAGCCCTTTCAGCCACAGAATTTTTTTTAGAAATAAGGCTATTGGAGGTCAATAAGACCACAATATTACAATAAGAGAGGTTATAATCCTCCCTATGCCCCCACCTACTGCAGCTCAAGGGATAACCATGTGGCAGGTGGCCAGCGCTTGCCAGATAGCACATTTTTTAAGTACATAAATTCTAAAAAAAAACAAAATGAAAGTGTAGGTACACTAAAAACTGAAACGGGGGTGTTAATTAATTTAGACCAGGAAAAGGCAGGAATTTTAAATAACTATTTCTCCTCCGTATATATTAAGGAAGAACCCATGGCAATAGATGTGCAAATGATTGCTACTAAAAACTTGCAGAATAATTGTAATTGGTTAACTCAAGACAAGGTGCTGCAGCAACTAAAGAAAGTTAATATAAACAAAGCTCCAGGGCCTGACGGTATCCATCCACGTGTACTTAAGGAACTAAGTGCAGAAATAAGTGAACCTCTGTTTTTAATCTTTCAAGATTCTTTTCTTTCAGGAAGTGTTCCGGAGGATTGGAGGAAGGCAGATGTGGTTCCTATATTCAAAAAGGGTTCAAAATCCTTGCCTGGAAATTATAGACCTGTGAGCTTAACTTCTGTGGCTGGTAAAATATTTGAAAGGTTATTAAGGGATAATATTCAAGAATTCCTTGAGAAGAACATGGTTATCAGCAAAAATCAGCATGGTTTTATGAAGCACAGGTCATGTCAAACTAACTTGATTGCGTTCTACGAAGAAGTAAGTAGAAGTATAGATCAGGGTGTTGCCGTGGATGTGATCTATTTGGATTTTGCCAAGGCATTTGATACAGTTCCACACAATAGATTAGTGTTCAAACTCAAGGAAATCGGTCTAGATGAAAATGCTTGTTCTTGGGTAGAACATTGGCTTAAAAACAGAGTACAAAGAGTTGTCATTAATGGTAAATTTTCAAGCTGGACAGAGGTGGCAAGTGGTGTCCCTCAGGGGTCTGTTCTGGGACCCCTTCTATTTAACATGTTTATAAATGATCTTGAAGACCGCATTGAAAGTCATGTTTCAGTGTTTGCAGATGACACCAAACTTTGTAAAACAATACAATGTGAGCAAGATATTACTTTGCTGCAGAGGGATTTAGATAGACTGGGGGACTGGGCACTCAAATGGCAGATGAAATTTAATGTTGAAAAATGCAAAGTTATGCACTTCGGCGTAAAGAATACACAAGCAACGTATACCCTTAATGGAAGCGAATTAGGGATAACAACACATGAAAAGGACTTGGGAATTGTTATAGACAACAAACTATGAAACAATGTGCAATGTCAATCAGCAGTGGCCAAGGCCAGTAAGGTATTGTCATGCATGAAAAAGGGCATTCATTCTTGGGACAAGAATATAATTTTGCCTCTTTATAAATCACTGGTAAGACCCCATATTGAATATGCTGTGCAATTTTGGGCACCTGTTCTAAAGAAGGATATTATGGCACTAGAAAAAGTGCAGAGGCGGGCTACAAAATTAATAAAAGGAATGGAACATATCGGCTATGAAGAAAGGTTAACAAATTTAAACCTATTTAGTTTAGAAAAACGTCGCCTGAGAGGGGATATGATAACATTATACAAATATATTCGGGGCCAATACAAACCATTGTGTGGAAATCTATTCACAAACCGGACTTTACATAGGACACGAGGCCATGAGTTTAGACTGGAAGAAAGAAGATTTCGTCTAAGGCAAAGGAAAGGTTTTTTTACTGTAAGAACAATCAGAATGTGGAATTCTCTGCCTGAGGAAGTGGTTTTATCAGAGTCCATACAGATGTTCAAACGGCTACTAGATGCATACTTGCAAGAACAGAATATTCAAGGATATAATCTTTCAATGTAGGGTAATAACTGCTTGATCCATGGATAAATCTGACTGCCATTCTGGGGTCAAGAAGGAATTTTTTTCCTAGTTTGTTGCAAAATTGTGCTTCAAACTGGGTTTTTTTGCCTTCTTTTGGATCAACAGCAAAAAACAAATGTGAGGTAGGCTGAACTTGATGGACGCAAGTCTCTTTTCAGCTATGTAACTATGTAACATTAAAAAAGTAACAGTAAATAAATAAAAAAGCCTAGCCTATGGGGGTCAATAAGACTAAATATGTCTATAAGGGAGACATATCTACTAAATATTTAAGTATAACTACTGGCAAGTATATGTTATAAATGTTATAGGTATTAGGTTAATGCACCCCCACTATTATTAGGGTGAGAATGGTGGGTAGCGTTAATTTAATTTAAATTAGAAGGTGGACCATGCCACTAATACGGGGAGGACAATGGCGTGTTCACCCTCCCCCTGTATAATAATATAGCCCCCACCTGCCACCAATGGATAGGGGCTGGGATGGGGACATTAGTTCCTCCCAATTATTATACAATAGCCCACTATCCACCCTTGGGTGGTGTAATGGGCGACATTAGGTTTTTAAAATATAAAATGTAATAGCCCCCTACTGACTACATGTGGAGGCAGATGGATGGACAGTGATCTGGCTACCCCATGTTATTTATTTTAAAGTCCCCAACCTGATGCCCATAGAAGGGAACTATGCCCCTATAATATTTTACAGGCCCCATTCCCATGCCGAGACTAAGAGACTAAGCAGCAATGGCAAATATTTAGTAGATTTGCCCCTAACTTGTCATTTAAAACCTCCATTGAAATAAAATTACAATTTTGCCTTTTCTATTTATTTGTTTTTTACTGTTTGAATGAGGCGACTGGCTAGCAAGTGCTGGTCAATTGCCACATGGTTAACCTTTTTTTTTTTTTTTCTACTGGCTGCTAGCAGGTAAATAGTACTTCAAATTATTATTCAACAGGCAAAATGCAAGTGAATGATAAATTGAACCTGCATTTTGCAGGATGCATTTGGTCCTGAATTTTTCTCCAAATCCTACCAAAAATGTGTATAGGGTTTAGATGTGAATGAACTGATTTTAATCCAAACACAAAATGCATCGAAACATTGCTGCAAATCCAGTCGGTCCTACTGAATTCCAACAAGATTTAGCTTTAATCAACCTGGAATTTGGTCATTTTCACCAGATTTTCTCCAGATGTTGAACCTCTTCAGTGTCAAAGTAAAGAACCTATTGGTTGTGCTGCTCCATACACCATATGATATTATACCACAGTTATTAATTTTTCAAAGACTAAGGACACAATTTTACGTGAATATAATCTTAATCTGTAAACTTACATAGGCCCCAGAAGAGCACTGTAAAAACTTGATACCACCAGGAACTCCTAAACCTGGTCTCTTGTAGTACATAAATTCAGAGAAATCTGCCTATTGAATGAACTTACAGAGAAAGTTAAGGGCTCTTTCAGTTACTTCCTACCATAAAATACGGGCCCGTACATCTATGTGGATTAATGATGGAGGAAATAATTAACAAGGATATACATGGTACCACAGACAGATGGCTAATGGGAGGAGAAAGATGACAATTCTTATGTGTATCTGTTTTTTCTTCCTTTCCATCCTGACTATGGACAAAGTAGAGTCAAAGCATGATATGATAACAAAGAATGCATTTTATGTGCCTATTTATTTAGCATGGACCATCATATTTATCATCTTTAGATAAACCAACAATTCATCACGAACCACATTCTAAACGTGTTATACTTAAGGTTTAAATTTGTTATCCAGTAATTATTTTGGTGGGCAGACTTGAGGATGTCGGTTGGCAGAGAGACATACCAATTTAATTTACCAAGTGTTGTTAACTTCATGACCATAAATAGGCAAATTCTTTTATAGCACAATAGTCACAGAACACACAGAACATCGTGTGTCATGGAGGTCTCTTTACTCTTCCACTGTATCGCTTTATTAACACCACCAACTCCCAAATTCTTTACTATAATAGAGTGAAAGAATGCCACCAGCTAGTGGAGTTCTATTATTATTAATATTAACATTCATATTACCGAGTGTGACGGACCGACTGCACCCCGACCGGGTACCTCCGTCAATCGCTGCTTCCTAGTACTGACGAGTACCATAAGCACTGTGCTGGAACACCATAACTACTGCAAACCCCCATGAACCGCCGCCGCTTGGTTGGGGTCTCGTCCTCTCCTAACCACCATGGACCTACAACAAGACTACAGATTCCAGTGGGTGACCCTTTCTTGCTCCAGAGAGTCCAGCAGGAACAGCTCTTACAAGAGTTAATGATTATGGAGTATAGTGATTATATTAATCCTCAGAGTGAATGTAGTTCTCCAATCCCCCAAACATGAGCTGAAACTTCATGAAGGTACAATATGATCTGAGAGTTTAATGGTACAGGTTGGATTTTTATACAACTTTTCAGGCCAGATGAACACCCACTGGACCTGATGGGGCACAGGACACAAATTGTACAGACCAATAGCATCAATGTAACAATGCCTGACACTCCCACTTACAGCACACAATCCCTCTCCTCTGCCTGTGATACAAATAAGGTAGATAATGTCTTAACGTAATTATCCCCAAGCATGAAAAACACATATTTCACAAAGTCCCATAAGTACCCCAAAATACAACATAAAAGTCACATGCCCTGATAGGCCTGATCTGGGTGAACAACATATCCAAAAATCACCCAAATCAGAGCAGGTGTTCAAAAGTTTCACGGAAGTCTCTTTTTGACTGGCCGCAAGCATGGCTTCATGCCCAAAATAGTTCCAGAGAATTAGGTTGTGCGGCTGGTCTATTTCCAATGACTAAAGTGCACTTCAAATAGTCGAACGGGATCGTTCGTGCACAAAGTCAGTGTTGAAGTGTTTTCGGTAGATTATTTCTACCGAACAGCGCTCTGTTCGTGCATATTTAGCCGAACCTAACTGGAGGTGGAAGTCTCAACGGTGTTTGTGCCCTCAAGTGTCCAATTGAGTTCCATGCGTTCGACGACAAAACACCACTGGACGCGCTCGACTACACAAGATGGCCGCCACCACGTTTTGGACTATACGAACAGCGACCACCCAGCCGTTTGTCAATTGGTTGTGGTTAACTCCCAGCCTGGAGGGCAAATGGGCTGCACACTCCACTTTTGTGTGGTCTGACTGTTCGGTTGTTTGTTCGGTAAACGAACACCATAAGTAGAATCCATTCGGTAGCCCCATATACCGAAGCACAGAGGGGAAAAGGCATGAACAAAGCCTGTCCACGGTGCTGAAGCCAGGTCTAATACCAGGTCCTGGGGCAACAAGCCCCTCCAAAACTCATGGCAAACTCACAGGAAAAGGGTAGTTTGTCACACTGAGTAAGAAACGCAGGAAACTTAAAATGTACGCATATGTTTTCAGTGTGTTTTGTAAATTACTTTAGTGTTTTGAATGAATCCAGCTTTCTGTTGGAAAGTTTTGCCAGGCAATAAAAACAAGTAATGTGCATTAATTATTGATTTACTTGTTTTCACACCTAAAGCATATCAATCCCACATACTGCTGGGCACCAATTTTTCAAGGCCTGCCAGACATAATAAAGAATTCATAAATATACAAAAAAAGGAAAGAGTAACATACTAAGACCTTGATTTAAGCATTCCAAATGATTCAATACTGTTGGAATGAAAATCCAAATGATTTATTTACAGAAGTCATCATTAATCTATGGGATTTTTTGTAGATAAATAAATTTTGTATATGTTTCTAACAGTATCGAATCACTTGGGAATCTTATTAAATAGGCCATAGTTTGATATTGGTGTTTAATCTGTTTTGTTTGGCGGTTTGTTTGTTTCTTTGTTTTTGATATTTAGAATTGACTCTAACTCTTAGTAATCTTATTTATTTATTATTTCATTTTTCTACATATCTTGAGTTCTACAGAACAAATCATACAGTTTCAGTGTGTAAACAGGGAAATTAAATTTACATTTCGGAATTAAAAAAAAAAAAAAAAGATTTATCTAGCTATTATGTTTTGTGAAAGGTTCAGACATGACAGTTCTTCTTCAAGCATTAAAAAAATGAGTGTCAAGATGCAAGACAACTGCCAAATTTGCCAGTTGCAACTTAACGCCGTGTTAAAAAGAAAAAAAAACAGTGGATGATCTAGAATTTACAAGTTGTCCTAGGAGAATAATCTCACAATTAGAATTCATGTCAAAACAAGCTCAGACAACAGACATTTAGCCTGAATCTTTTGAAAACATATGCAAGCACGGCACACGTAATCATTCTAAGAGTCAAAACTGCTTTTAAGAATGTTCAGTAGTGATCAAATGTGAAGCAGACACAAGGTAATATAGCCATATCTCGTAAACTACACGAAATTAATCCCCCTTAAACATTTCTATAAACACAGTGTATTGTCATGGTTACCAATTATAATTCTGCACACACTGATTTTAGAGTTTAGGTTTGTAAACAATTAAACCCAATTATGTGCTCTCCCCTTTGATGTCCTTTTTAGTTAACAAAGACTACAGAGTTGGTTTTAATTAAAGAGAAAAGAATGACAATTAGCAAATGTGATGATTAAACGGTATCTAGAGAGAAAAGAAAATTCACTGAGACAACACAAGTGAGTTTGGTGCCTGAATTTGTGCCTATTTACACCCCATCCCCCCTTCCCCCCTCGACACCCCTCTTTTAATTAATCAACAATTGTGTATCTATACATTATGTGTAAATTATAGTTATGTTGTTTTTTTCCCCCATTTTTCTATAACAGAGCCAAAAACAGAGTAATTTTATGACAGGACAGGACACATATAAATGTAATGCTTTTTTGGCATTTGTTGACTTTTAATGCAAAGTTTATTTAACTAAATAATAAATCAAAGTATGGATGGAGCAGTAAGTATTTGTTTATATATATATATATATATATATATATATATATATATATATATATATATATATATATATATGCATAGGTCAAAATAATTTGTACAATAATGCAATTTCTAACCTAAATAAAAACCCTAAAGGTGTTTAATGTAACATAGTAGCTAATGGTAAACCATATTGTAAAAAATAAGACAAAAACAGCTGATTTTGACAAATTATTTAACTCAGCTATAGCTACAACTTGGCTTTTTTGTTTACCAATGTGCTACAGTTCAGTGTTTAGTGAATAAACCCCAGAAGGGATTTTAATAGTCAATTACCACATTAACAGTTTTTAAAGTTCTTATTGTTCCTTTGCCCTTAAATGTTAAGTGTTATAATATAATTTCCCAAGCTGATTTCAAATGATTAGTTTGTCAGATTTTGGTAAACATTATCGTATTTATAAATTCTGTATTGGGCATTAGATGTTTTAATTATTTTGAACCTTAGAAGCACATTTTAATGCAATACAAATCCTTTAACGATCGGATGTATTTGATCATTCTAGCAGTGCCAACTTAACTATTAGTTAGTGCCCAAATGACCTGATAAACCTCCATGTGCCACATTCTGCTATGATTCTATGTGAGATATTATCAATGTGTTTTCTTGACCATTTCTCTGAATATGGTTCTTATCTATCTATCTATCTATCTATTTATCTATCATCTCTCTCTCTCTCTCTCTCACACACACACGCACACACACACACACACATGCACAAGCTGATTCATCATTGCAGACACCTGGGATCTCCAAATACCCTCAAGATAAAATTCTTTACATTTTTGTGAGTTTCAAAGCCCTAGGAAGTTGGGTAAGACATCAAGGTTTCAGCAGAAAAATATGTGCAATAAAAACAGGTGATGATGAGACATTGAAACATTCTCTGAATTATCATTTCTACTTTGTTTCTTAGACACTTTGTCACTACCAAAGAATCTGGATTAGGATGAGGACACTATTTTAACTCCACCCAAGAAGTGGGCAAATCTTGAATTGAATGTGCTTTTGGTGAATTGTGAAATTCCTAGGTCAGTACATTAAAATTCGTGAATTACCCTAACTAACAAGAAAAGGAGAACACCTCCAAAAGGGAGCCTGGAGTGTGTAAATGGACTTCAAAGGGGGTAACCCTAAGAAGTAGATAAATTGTATACAGAAAATGTCCAATGGATACAAAATCCAGATGACACAAAGAAGTCCCTATATGGATACTATGTATCATTCAATATGATTTAAAAATTCCGTTTATTGGGGCAGGGCCGCACCGCCATGCTAACCGGTCGCATGCAGGAGAGGCTCCGGAGCAAACGATCCCACGAGATACTCACGGCTGTGGGAGAGATAGCGGACCCCGAGATCGGGAATTTTGGACACCCTGGGGGCAGCACGAAGCTTCGGGGGCCAACAACCGCGCATTAGAACTGCTGGCCGGGCTACGGCGGCCATAGAATAGAAACAGGCGCGGGCCCAAGATATACTGTCTGACTAAGACGATGAGGGGGATGAGGGGTCAGACGACCATTACTCTGATCCTTATGAGGACGAGTTCTCAGAGGGCGAGAGCCTCCAGGGAAAACAGTTCCCATCGGCACCAACTCATGCCACAGCACAGTCAGAGGTGCTCAGGACAGACGCAACCCGCGATAGAAAAGAGATACCCTTGTTTGACCCGGATAATTTAAGACATCCGCGATCCGCTGAATGGGAGCCCTCTGAGCATATCGCTTAGTACCTAGCCCTCAGGGTACGTAAATCCCTCTCCCAGGAGGGTCGTAACAAGCTGAGAGCGGAATGCCCCTGACCCATTATACCAGATGCAGTGGCAAAAAACCCTGAAGTGGACCCACAGATAGTCCAGTTCCTGGCTAAAACCGTCTGGAAGCCAAAGAAGGGACTAGACTATTCCCTCCGTAACTGTCAGGACAAGTTCCTGGATACACCAGGTCCCGTCACTAAGTTGTATGAACTGCTGGAAGCAGCTCAGTCGGGTGAGGCACAATTGGACTTTGAGGTGGCGTTTGGCTGGCTCCAACGCCTAGTCTGTATGATCGGCAACGCCAATACAACCATGTCTACTGAAGGCAGGAAAGCTATCCTGCTCAAGATCAAGGGGCTTCAGCTAAAGGCTTGTTATTCGGTGAGTCCTTTGTAAAAGACCTAGGCTCATACGTAAAAACCTTCACGGCTCTGGACAAAGCCCAATCGTCCATTAAACGAGTCTTCAACCAAAAGGTTTTCGGTAGGACCGGTAGAGGTAGGAGCCGTCTATCCGGCCGCAACTCCCGAAGTTTCTCCAGACCGGGCAGAGGCTCCTTCAACACTCAGAGACCAAGCCAAGAGCGTTCCTATACTCCGTTCTTCCCCTCTCGAGGAAAGCCTTGGAATGCTAACTGTGGCAGAGGAACATCCACAGGAAAACGCCCTTATGGTAAGTACAATTTTCCCCCACTTTTCCCATATAAATGTGGGGGGCAGGTTGGCGTTGTTCTCTCAGGCTTGGGCTATGATCACATTCGACAGTTGGGTGTTGCAGACCATAAAGGGTTATCACCTAGAATTAACGGGTCTTCCCTTTCAGGACTCCCCGCCATGAGTGCTCCACATACCAAAGTCCCACCACGAGCTCATCTCCTGGGAGATCAGGGTTCTGCAGACCAAAAATGCTATAGAGGAAATCCCTCTAGATACACCAGGTTTTGTGAGCAACCTGTTCTTAGTGCCGAAAAAAGGCGGAGGCGTCCGCCCTGTTATCAACCTGCAACCCCTCAATGCCTTTGTCCAATACTGGTATTTCAAGATGGAGGGCATACACTGCCTCCGAGACCTACTCCTCCCGGGAGATTGGATGGTAAAACTCGATTTACAGGACGCGTATCTAATGGTCCCGATAGAACTGGATCACAGGATTGGGGCAAAGAAATAGCGTTTCTCATGCCTTCCTTTCAGACTATCCTCTGCTCCCTGGTGCTTCACAAAAGTTCTGAAGCCAGTGATTGCCTTTCTCAGGTTACACGGGGTCCGTCTTATTATATATCTGGACGATATCCTCCTACTGTCGGGGACACGGTCCATACTGATAACCCACTTGTCATGGACCCTCCATCTCCTCCAGAACCTCGGTTTCCTGGTGAACTGGGAGAAATCGGTGCTACAACCTTCTCAACAGAATTCCTGGGGTTCCGAGTCGACTCCGTCTGACAAATTCTATGCCTCCCGGCAGAAAAGATGTCCAATATCAAAAGGGAAATAAGGCGGTTAATGAACCGTCCAGACATTTCTCTGAGACAATTGGCACAAGTGATCGGACTACTGGCGGCCTCCAACCAAGCGATCTTCCCGGGACCATTACTCTATCGGGCGCTACAACGACTGAAAGCATCCTGCCTAAGAAACGGCCAATCATATAAGACCAACATCACCCTGGACGAGGAGTCCAGGGAAGAACTGAACTGCTGGTTAACCCAGATGGAAGCGTGGAACGGTCGAGCAATCTTCGATTCCACCCCGGATCTCGTGATAGAGTCGGACGCAAGCTTACATGGCTGGGGCGCGTGTTGCGGCTCCATATCCACCGGAGGCAGATGGTCAGTAGACGAATCGTTCCTACATATAAACTCCCTGGAACTGCTGGCAGCCTCGTTTGCCATCCGCAACCTCTCACCCAGGGGCATTTCATGCTCGATCCTACTCAAGTTGGACAACGTCTCGGCAGCCAGATACATAAACCATCTGGGAGGTACCAGGTCACGTATCTTAGCAGTCTTGGCTCGAGACTTCTGGCATTATTGTTTGCAGAACAACGTGACGGTAACCGTGGAACACATACCGGGGTTGGACAATTACACTGCGGACTGGAACTCCCGATACCTGAGGGACTTGGGGGATTGGAGGCTTCAACCGAAGGTATTCTACAAGATCGTTCAGTTATGGGGACCTTTGACTGTGGGTCTTTTTGCATCCAGACTGAACACACAGCTTCCTCAGTTTTTCAGCTGGCGACCAGACCCGGAAGCATCTGCGTTCCTCCAGGATTGGACCAAGGGACGAGCATATGCCTTCCCTCCGTTCAACCTGATTGCTCGAACTCTGGTTTACCTCCGACGCTGCAGGAGCATGATGGTCCTGATAACCCCATGCTGGAGATCTCAACCTTGGTTCCCCCATCTACAGGAAATGGCGATCGATTGCCCACAGTTGCTACCGGATCAACCCCTGCTAACCAATCCCGGTTGGGGAGAATCACAACCTGATAGAACAAGGACTTCTTCATCTCATGGCGTGGCTCCTTTCCGGGAACCTTGGGAAATCACAGAGGTTTCGAGAACAACTACCCAACTCCTGGCAAATGCTTGGGCACCAGGAACACGGCGTTCCTATGCTGCGGCATGGAGGACATGGTCCAATTGGTGCCTGGAGAGATTGGTGGATCCCGTATCAACCTCTGTAAAAACGGTGCTGGATTTCCTGACGCACCTATTCGAATCAGGCAAGGCCTTCCGTACCGTCAACATGTACCAATCGGCCATCTCGGCAGGTCATGATATCGTGGACGGACTTCCAATCGGGCAGAATCCCTTGGTCTGTCGTCTGCTCAAGGGTGTTTGTTTCTCACGCCCACCTAAACCTAGATATGGATCCTTTTGGGATGTTAACGTGGTATTCAGGCTCCTAGACGAATGGCCCTCTAACACAGAATTGTCATTAAAACAATTGTTGACAAAATTGATTATGCTGTCTGCTATCCTGTAAGCGAGTGTCTGACGTGAGGGCTTTGGACTGGCAGGCCCGTGTATTCAATCCGGAAGGAGTGTCATTCGATATCTCGCGGAGAACGAAATCAGCAACTAAGCAGGTCTTCTACCCAAGAATTCCAAACCAACCCAATCTATGCCCGATGCTGTGCCTAAAAGAATACGAATCTTGCACTTCTACTCTATGCCCGTCTAATGACGGACCTTTGTTCATCTTGCTGAAGAAACAACATCTTCCTACTCTCGCTCGTTGGGTCAAGTGGTTATTGGCTTCGGCCGGGATAGATGTCACGGTCTTCTCATTCCATTCTGTCAGGGGTGCTATGGCCTCTAAGGCATCGACAATAGGATGTTGATTGGAAGACATCTTGAAGGCCGCAGATTGGTCTACGGAATCTTCATTCCGGAATTTTTATTTTCAACCTATCCAGCACTTGTCAGAAAGGGTTATAGCTCAGCTTTAAAAGAGCATAATAGGAGCCTCCGTGTCTTTAATAAAATTCCAAGATTTTACTATTAACATGACGTAAAGTCATGATTTTATTAATGACACGGAGGCGAGTATTATTCCCTCCCACCCTCCCAGAGTGGAATTATTGAAATTCACATGACGGGCAGTCGTAGATTAGGTGTGTCGATATACTCAGGTATTTCATATTAGACCCTTCTTTGCTCCGGTAAGTGGCCATAAAGGTTAGCTTATCACGTTAGATAAGTTTTGCTTATGTGTATAATGTATGATGGCAATAGATTTTGTCTCCAGGCCCAGATAACCGCTGTAATGTTGAAGTATATGTTACAAGCAGGTGACAATCGAGATATTACCATATTTCTCCTCTCTTTTTAGCCTGAATACTTCTATCAAGGTGTTGAAGTTTTGGAGGACACGTCTACAGTTTGGCCATAAAGAATGGATGTATGACTACTATCCGATGTTCCAGTTTCAGTTCAAGTTTATCGTTTTGGTTATTAGCTGGTCTTCGGATCGCTGCGGAAAGAGGAAGGATGGAGTGCTACATCTTATATACTAAGGGGGTGGACACTATTGGTAGCACTGTGAATATGCTAATGTTATGTTGTTTTTCTCTCTTTTTTTTATACATCTCTCTTAGCTGCCGAAAGAAAATTAAAGAAAGAGAAGCATAATACTCGCCTCCGTGTCATTAATAAAATCATGAATTTACGTCATGTTAATAGTAAAATCTTGGAATTATGAGTGAGAGTGACCTAAGCATGAACTTGGGAACTACATTAAACTAGAGGGGTGGCCTTTAAAGGGACTACATTACATTGCTGAATGCTCCATGCTTACCTAAGGGAAATCATTGGAGTTGTGTGTGTACACTGGTCAGCCATAACATTAAAACCACCTGCCTGTTAGACTTGTCATTTTGGAGATGCTTGGAACCAGTTGTTTAGCCATCGCTATTTGGCAGTTGTCAGAGTCACTTAGATCTTTTTGCTTGCCCATTTTCCTCCTTCCAACACATGACAATCAATAACTGACTGTTCACTTGCTGTATAATATATTCTACCCCTTGACAGGTGCCATTGTAACAATATAATCAATGTTATTCACTGGGCTGTTCGGTGGTTTTAATAATGTTGTAGCTGATCAGTGTATGTTGCTGTGATAGGATTTGTGAGGAAATATGTGCATGTAATGTATGTGTGTGTAATTCTGAAGTATGTGGGTGCTGTATGTGTGTGATTGGAATTGTGGAACTTGTTCCTATATTTGGTTCTATATGTGAATGTGTAGGGGCTGCATGCAGTGCCGGATAAACATAGGGGCTGATGGAGCATTTTTTTTTTTGCTACTCTTCCCTTGCTCTTGCTTAACTATTGAAACTTAATAGGGATATAGGGGAACAAAACGTGTGTACTGGCTGACAATGAAATTAGCTACGGTAAAGCTGACTTTGCACACTGTGCAAATGGTCTTGCTGCTTCAGTCTCTCTAACACTGTGGCTTGTTCCCTTTTCTTCTACACTCACTGCATACACCTTTTCTCTGTCCCAGACTGTATATCAGGAGATTCTGTCTGCTAGTTGGAAGGTAAGGAGAGGAGTGGACAAGTGAGTGCTAGGGAACAGTCCTTAGAAAGTGTGGAGACACATTTATGCCAAGCTCAGGGTGCTGCCTGCATAATATGCCCTTAGTTGGCCAGTCTGCATGATTGGCCTTCCAATTCTTCATGCAGACACGCCCCCTTTTTTGGCATGTTTGTCTCTTTTGGCGATTCTGCTTCCGTGATTCGGAATTAGGCCCCTCATAATTGTCAGCACCAGGTCCACTGGGTTCTTAATCTGGCCCTAGCTGCATGTGTAATGGGAATTCTACGAAAGTGCCCACTTTGTCTTCTTTCCTTTGTATCTGCTCCTCCAGTATGCGCAGAACCCTTGCATTGCTAATACACACAGAAATACATTTTGCATTATTTTTCGTGATTATGTTATTTGCATTCCTAGATAAAACCCTGCCAGCTCCCAACAACAGTAAATCCATAACTGCTTGGAATCTTATATCTGGATGGTATTCTGATTCATTCTCTTTGTATGGCTATACTGGAACTTGTTCTTATATGTTAAACATTCCAAAAGTCGTCATTCAAATTTCACAAGACAAAAGAAACAATCAGGAAAAAAGAAGGCATTGTTCAGAGCCATCCCAAAGGTCACAGGGAAAGTAGATTCATAATGTTGGATTTCTAGCATAAATGCATCTGAAACATGACATGGCAAACAGACAACACATGAAACAATATACATCTCGTTATATCTTTCCGTAAAAAATTGGTGATTTAATTTCTAATAATATAGTAGATATATGGAGAGAGAGAGAGAGAGAAAGAGAGAGAGAGAAAGAGAGAGAGAGAGAAAGAGAGAGAGAAAGAGAGAAGAGAGAGAAAGAGAGAGAAAGAGAGAAAGAGAGAGAGAGAAAGAGAGAGAGAAAGAGAGAGAGAGAGAGAGAGAGAGAGAAAGAGAGAGAGAAAGAGAGAGAAAGAGAGAGAAAGAGAGAGAAAGAGAGAGAGAGAGAGAGAAAGAGAGAGAAAGAAAGAAAGAAAAAAGAAAGAAAAAAAGAAAGAAAAAAGAATGAAAGAAAGAAAGAAAAAGAAAGAGAGACAGACAGGAAAAAAAAGTTGTTCTAAATTTTTTTACAGTTTTTGAAGAAAAAAATAACTATAGAAATGGGAAAATGCTGAAATACCTGAAAAAACATTTCTGCAGACAGACAAATAAAGGAATTTGGTAAAAAAAATAAAAATAATGTTATAAGTAAAATATTTAGAATAATTTGGGTAATTGTGAATCCAATCAGAAATGTAATATTTGAAGAACAAGAGGATGAGAGAAGAAATAAGTCAGATAGGAGGGAAAGTGGTAGGAAACAGAGAGAGAACAAATTAGGACATTAATTATTTCATTTTAATTAAGAATCCCTATTTTGATGTCAATAGAATACTTCCATCAATTAAATTAGTTTTCACAGGAATATGCAACCCACTTACTATTTAGAGTGTAACGCTTCTTGCGTTTTCGATTGACCAGTCCATTGAACTGTTCCAGCCATCTTGCTTGGCTTATATCCTTCATACCACAACGTGGCTCATTCATCTGGAGCACTGTACGTACATCAAGATGACCACTAACTGGAAGGTGTGATAACCACTGGTAATGTCTGTAACCCCAGAATATAATAAAAGAAAACATGAATATAAGGTCTCAATTTTATTTTAAGGTAAAAAATACTTTGGAGTCTTCATTATGAACCATAATCCATAAATATTAAAGGGACACTCCAGGCACCCAGACCACTTCTGCACATTGGAGTGGTCTGGGTGCCAACTCCCACTACCCTTAACCCTGGAACTGTAAATATTGCAGTTTTCATAAACTGCAGTAATTACATTGCAGGGTTAACTCCTCTAGTGGCTGTCTAATAGACAGCCACTTGAGGGCACTTCCTGGTTTCTAGCACATGTTTTCTGTGCTATAGCGTCACTGGACGTCCTCACACTATGTGAGGACCTCCAGCGTCGCTAAAATCCCCATAGGAAAGCACTAAGAGCATTTTCAATGCTTTCCTATGGAGAGGTCTAATGCGCACGTGCGGCATTGCCACGCATGCGCATTAGGTCTCCCCCGCTGGCGGCGCACATGCGCAATCGGTCACCCCCGCCAGATGGCGTCGGTGGGGGAGGAGCGTGGATGGACCCTAAACCAGCGCCGAGCGACATGGCACTGGTTCTAACCCCTTCAGCAACATGGGATAAGGGTTGGGAGGGAGAGGGGACCTGCAGTGACAGAAAAACGATTTGTTTTCCTGGCACTGGAGTGTCCCTTTAATACTAGAACGACGAAATATAATAATTATTATTTAGGGAACACTCCAAGTACCATAACAACTTAATCAAAATTAATTTGTTATGGTGCCAGGAGTTCCCTGGGCATTTTCTTACCTGAATGAGTTACCTGTTTTCAAACAGTTTATAACCTTAAAGTAAATGAATAATACCAGAGCACTAAATATACACAGGCTCTATAGGGGCAAAAGTTTCTGATAAACTTTATAAATGTACTATTACAAGTATTTAATCAATTACAGCTACCACACTTCAAAGTGTTCCCTTCACCACATACATGATATCTAAATACAATATTAAGAAGTGGAGCAATATAAAGATGATAAGCCCCTTCCACCATGCAGCAAAAATATATAAAAAAAGAGAATACTTATACTCCTCACTGGATGATACTCAAATTCATATGTAACATGTAAAAGGAATTAAGAAAATCATAGTACAGATCTGTATGGATTGTTTGCACTCTTTAAATAGTGCTGGTTGTCACATACATTTACTTATTCAGCTGGATATTAAAGTAACAATTTATTTGTATTACAATACACTATGCTTAAAATCAGAATAATAAATAATAAAATACAGCTAAAATAGCAATGTAAACAGATTGCTGCTTACTAGAAACGATGGTGAGTAAAACGCTTTATGTTCCCGTTACTCACAACAAAGCTGTCCCACACTCTCCTGTGCAGAGAGTTCGGGGGGATTCCTATTAGCGAGATCCGGGTAGTAGATGAATATTCAATAGTTGCCTTTCAATGTTCCCGGCTTGTGATCAGGCTCCGCCCCCTCCTTTACGTGCTCACGCTTCTGCCTACGCGTTTCGCCATTCTCAGACGGCTTCATCAGGACATGATATGCTCATATGCACCCTATTCAATGTTTGTGAAGATTGTGCACATTGTTGGGCAAATGCATCTATCCAATGAGTTAAAGTTTGTAGTAAAGACAGTGGGGCACAGTACAGAACTGCAGTTATTACTTCTCAATGTTGGCATTTTAAATTATACATTTGTTTGATGCCACTGTAATGATGCTCTGTTATTAATAGAGCACCATTAGAGCTATTTTAAAAACAGTGGGCATTTTGAAACGTGCTATTTTAGTAGTGATTGTGGGCTTTGTGTGCAATATACAATATCAGTTGAATTAGAAATATTTCTATGAGTAGATTAGCAGAATATGGACTGAGGAGCACGTTCCCTAGTCGCATCAGTTTAACATGTCATAATTCTGTGATTATTTTTTTGAACCAGTCATAGATAACTTGGTAGATAACTTACCGTAGTCAGAGAGAAGTGAGGAATTTAAAAATGTAAACAGCGGGAAAATGTATAATAGCTTTTATACCATAGTTTCTCTGAGACTATGGCGGCCCAGGGGTGCAGGGGAAGGTATATTTTGCGTACCTGAACCTGTCCCTCACAGTCACTGCCCTTTCTATCCAGTAGGTCCTATTCAACTCTGGAGCATCAAATTGCCAGGAGTCCACATCAGTGCTGTACTCTCATGCATGCAAATCTGATATCTATAGGGGACCTTGCGAGGCTGCGGGAGCCTCCATAGACAATAACTTTTTCCTCACAGCTGTCACTAGTGACAGCTGGAGGAAATTATAAAACTTGATGGTGAAATTCCAACACAGTCAATTTAAGTATTTAAGAAAGATTTTTATCTTTATGAAATACAATTTTTTTGAGGGTAGTTATACAGCCACTTTAACGAAAGAAATTAGACCTCACTTCAATTGTTTTATAAATATATAACCTTACATTGTGCACTATTCTAGAACATGGCACAAGAAAACACAACACATCTATGTTTATATTTTCACAAATGTAGTTCTAAATTGGGACAAGAAGAATGGTTGTGTCTATGTGATCTGAACACAAAGTTACCACATATTTTCAACTTATCAAGAGGAGATAGCTACATAATAAGCTATTATACTTAGTACTTTACTAGTAGTGGATGACAAATAAGGGTAGATTTACAAAGAGGGGAAAACAATGGTTTAGGGAGATTAACTCCATCCTATCCTTAAATGGTGGAACCAAAGCCTTTTCACATGGAGCTCAATGGATTTAGTATCCAGTCACCAGGGAAATATGTAGCAAGCACCACACATTTCCAGACAATTATACTGTATTACAAGAGGAGGACATTCTGCAAAGTTTGATACCGAAAATCTGTACAGATATAAAATGTAAAGTTTAATAAATAAAATCATAGTTGGCTTCACTTTATTATTAATGGTCTGCAGTTGACAGTTCTTTTAAATCTGAATTTACTTGTTTTTTATTCTGTTCTTTATATAAATCATCCAAACTCTCTCTGTCCTAGCAGGAAAGAGCTAACACATGCGCCCTGTCAGCTTTCAACCCTAATCAAATATCTTCCCATGTCAGGACCCTTCCAACCACGCACAGCTGGCCAAAGAATGCACCTTTATTCTGACATCTTGTATCTCTGCCAAAGACACATCTGTTCTCTGTCCTCAGGTAAAACTTGGCATAAAGCAGAGGCACTGCTCTGAAAATCATAATTATGTGGAAACACCAGTGTGATCTCTCCGAAGGACAGAATGTAAAACTGATTTGGTGAGTCAGATCCCTGGTTTTCATTACTACAGAGTGATGAAAGGAGGCTTAGAAAACCTGTAGTGCATTTTCCAATAAATCTGCGAAGGAGCTTACACCAAAGACAGGAATTTCTACTAATAATGAGTTTGTAAAACTACAAGTGAAGGTGTTAGATAAAAGAGTGGGGCATGTGAGAGATAAGGCCTAATATCAATTATCAAAGGTGTTGGAAAGAAATCACATTTAGAAAATAAACGATAGCTAAAGCTTCTCAGAATGTGACACAAGACTCTGAGACAAGAGTGCATTTTGAGATAGTGGTGTTACATCAGAGTGAATTATTTAATTATTAAGATAGTGGTGCACCTTATTATGGGATGTCAAAAAGATAGAAAGAACCTTAAAGGAACACTATAGTCATCCAAATCACTTTATAATGGATTTTTGAGAAGCTGCAATATTTACATCGCATGCTTAAGTCCACCCTAGTGGAGGGACATTTTAGCATTTGCCTTGGGTGGCATTTTCCAGGGGGCGGCAAAAAAAGCCGCCCCCCCCAAATGCCGAGGGCAAATGCCTTGTTAGCCTTGCGGCTAACTAACATACTGGGCTGGGCTGGGCGGGCCAGCGGGCGGCTGGCGAGGGAGCTCTTCTTCTGAACGGTCTGCTCAGCTCCCTCATATTCCGGCTCCCAGCCTCACTGTGAGGCGCGCGAGGGAGCTGAGCAGAGTGCTCAGGGGAAGTACTCCCTCGTCAGCCGCCTGCCAACACCGTCCGCCCGTCCAGCAGCCACTGGACCCCCAGGGAGATAGAGAACCCCTTCCCCCCCCAGCACTCCCAAAAGTAAGGAAGCTGGGGGGGTGCTTAAAAAAAAATGTGTTAATGTGAGTGAGTGTGTGTATGTCTGTGAGTGTGTGAGTGTGTTAGAAAACCTGTAGTGCATTTTCCAATAAATCTGCGAAGGAGCTTACACCAAAGACAGGAATTTCTACTAATAATGAGTTTGTAAAACTACAAGTGAAGGTGTTAGATAAAAGAGTGGGGCATGTGAGAGATAAGGCCTAATATCAATTATCAAAGGTGTTGGAAAGAAATCACATTTAGAAAATAAACGATAGCTAAAGCTTCTCAGAATGTGACACAAGACTCTGAGACAAGAGTGCATTTTGAGATAGTGGTGTTACATCAGAGTGAATTATTTAATTATTAAGATAGTGGTGCACCTTATTATGGGATGTCAAAAAGATAGAAAGAACCTTAAAGGAACACTATAGTCATCCAAATCACTTTATAATGGATTTTTGAGAAGCTGCAATATTTACATCGCATGCTTAAGTCCACCCTAGTGGAGGGACATTTTAGCATTTGCCTTGGGTGGCATTTTCCAGGGGGCGGCAAAAAAAGCCGCCCCCCCCAAATGCCGAGGGCAAATGCCTTGTTAGCCTTGCGGCTAACTAACATACTGGGCTGGGCTGGGCGGGCCAGCGGGCGGCTGGCGAGGGAGCTCTTCTTCTGAACGGTCTGCTCAGCTCCCTCATATTCCGGCTCCCAGCCTCACTGTGAGGCGCGCGAGGGAGCTGAGCAGAGTGCTCAGGGGAAGTACTCCCTCGTCAGCCGCCTGCCAACACCGTCCGCCCGTCCAGCAGCCACTGGACCCCCAGGGAGATAGAGAACCCCTTCCCCCCCCAGCACTCCCAAAAGTAAGGAAGCTGGGGGGGTGCTTAAAAAAAAATGTGTTAATGTGAGTGAGTGTGTGTATGTCTGTGAGTGTGTGAGTGTGTCTGTTAGTCAGTGTGTCTGTTAGTGTGTGTGTCTGTTAGTGTGTGTGTGAGTGTGTCTGTTAGTGTGTGTGTCTGTTAGTGAGTGTGTCTGTTAGTGAGTGTGTGTGTGTCTGACTGTTAGTGTGAGTGTGTTTGCCTGTGAGTGTGTGTGTCTGCTAGTGTGTGTCTGTTAGTGAGTGTCTGTTAGTGAGTGTGTGCTTACCTGTGAGTGTGTGTGTCTGTTAGTGAGTGTGTTTGTTTGTTTGTTTGTGTGTGTGTGTGTCTGACTGTGTGTGAGTGTGTCAGTGAGTGTGTGTGTGTGTGTCTGTGTGTGTCAGTGAGTGTGTGTTTCTGTTAGCTAGTGTATGCGTATCTGTCAGTGTGTGTGTATTTAGAACGCCGGGCGGGGGGAAGGGATGGGTGGGGGTTGTGCAGGCAGCTAAAAGTTTTGTCCTGCCTAGGGAAGCACAAAACCAGGATACACCACTGCCCTAGTGGTATGAACGCCACTAGCTTCCACTGCATTGGCAGAGTAAAACCCGTTCACATGACATAGAAGCCCACAGGAAAGCATTGATTCACTCGCCACGCATAGGTCCCAAATTCTCCTCTTTGAGCAGCATTGGATTGTACTACGCTGGAGAGGGCCAAAAAGGGTGAGTAAAACTTACCCTTTTCAAACTTTTATGGCAATTGGGAGGACGACCTATTTAGACCTTAACGAGAGGGACACTATAGCGTTAGAAATACAGGTTTGTATTCCTAACGCTATAGTGTTCCTTTAGGAGTGGGATAATAGAGAAGGGAGAGCAGGTCATGTCAAACAATGAGAACAAGGAATTCCTTAGGGATATTAATGATCAGGTGTACATATTTGAGAAGGGGTAGAGTTCTGTAAGATGTACAGATATGCAATTAGAGAATGTTTAATCATTAGTGCAGTTGGGAGATTAGCAGGGATCAGAAGGGGTCCGGAGTCAGGGTTGAAATCACCAGCTGCAAAATACAGCAACCTGTAAGTGGATTTTTCATTAAGTAGGAGGATGAATTGAAATAAAATATCTAAGACAATTATGGGATAGGAATTGAAGCGCATCTTGTAGTCCATAGAGAAGGAATGTGTGGCAGTTTGATTATAATATAAAGCAGGCATGCTATTATAGAAATATAAAGCTGGCTCGCCAGTCACAGTGTGCTGCAGAGTCGTATTGTTTAAAAGGTACCATGACCAATTCTTCTACACTGGAAAGAATGTTGACCCACCATCCACACAATCATTCCCTGTTCCACCAGCACAAAAGATGAGAAGACAAGAAACCCCTGCTATGCTTGTTCAGGCTTAATCTTGGCTTAAATGTTGAAAAGCTAAATGAGATCTCTAAATGAGAGACAGAATTATAACACAGACTAGATAGATTCAAGCAAACAGAAAAGCATTCAAACAAGACTGTGATGGTTTAGGAGAATCAGACACATCTTTAGGGCAAACTCAATTTATAGGGTTTGATGATTGACCTGGAGTCTAGGCTCTGAGTCACTACACATGACATTGCAGAACCATGAACTCAGGGTGCACTGTTAGAGCTTTTTGTCTTGGTTTTTTTTCTCACTGTGTGCTATTTATAAATTTTATGTTTTGTTTCATGAATAGCTAAAGGCTGTTGGAGGCTGGCACGATCTAAATCTAGTGCCAGCACCAAAAGCTGCAGCTAAAAATAAAAAGTGCTGTCCAACGGGATGCATATTCTCTAAACATTCCTAATTAAAGGGACTCTGGTCCATTACGGTCGCTATAAGATCAGAAGGAAACATGGAACATGATACCATCCAAAAGGATATACGCACTATTGTCTGATGATCACTGCTACACATTTAGTATTTGGACAAATCTATGTTATGTTATGTATGTTAGATGTGCTCACCTTCAGACCAGTATCTGTGATGTTAAAATTTGTAGGGAGAATGTGGAGGAAAACTAAAAGCTTTAAAGGGACACTATAGTCACCCAGTCCACTTCATCTAACTGCACTGTCCATGTCCTCTTAACCCTTCAGCAGAAAACACTGCTGTTTTAGAGAAACTGCAATGTTTTCTTTGCAGGGTGAAAACTGCTTCCATGAAATGACGCTAGACATCCTCGCGCTTTGCATTAGCACGTCCAGCGTCTTCTAAATCCCCACAGGAAAGCACTGATTCTATGCTTTCCTACAGCTTTGTATTCCTAACAATTTAGTTTTCCTTTAATAGGGTGAAACCTGCTGCAATGCTAACACCCAATCAGCTTTGTGGGTATAGACCTATCAATCAGGAACTGGGGTTCAGCTGGAGATAGAAGGCTCAAGGAAAACGCCTACATGGTCTTAGAAGTTAGCATGATATAAGATTAGTTTATATTAGTAGTTATCCCCCAAGTGTGTGTTCACATTAAATGGTACCTATATGCACACATACACTGATCAGCCACAACATTAAAACCCCTGACAGGTGAAGTGAATAACATTGATTATATCCTTACAATGGCACCTGCCAAGTGAACAGTCAGTTCCTGAATTGTGTGTTGGAAGCAGGAAAATGAAAAGATCTGAGTGACTTTGACAAGGCCTAAGTAGAGATGGCTAAATGACTGGGTCAGAACATCTCCAAAATTGCAAGTCTTGTGGGGTGTTCCTGACAAGATTGATTCAAGGAAGGACAACCAGTGACCGGCATCAGGGTCATGGGTGCTCAAGGCTCATTGATGCACATGGGGAGCGAAGGCTAGTCAGTCTTGTCCAGCCACACAGAAGAGCTACTGTAGCTGAAATTGCTGAAAAACTGAATGCTGGTCATGATAGAAAGGTGTCAGAACACACAATGCATTGAAGTTTGCTGATTATGGGGCTGCATAGTTGCAGACTGGTCAAAGAGCCTATGATGATCACTGTCCAATGCTGAAAGTGCCTTAAATGGGAATGTGAACCTTAAATTTGGACGATAGAGCAATAGAATAAGATTGCCTGGTCTTATGAATCACATTTTCATTTGGATGAGGTGGATGGCCAGGTGTATGTGAGCTGTTTACCTGAGAAGAGATAGCAGCAGAATGCACTATGGGAAGAAGGCAGGCCAGTGGAGGCAGTTTTATGGTCTGGACAATATTCTACTGGGAAACCTTTGGTCCTGGCATTCATATGGATCTTACTTTGACAAGTACCACCTACCTAGCAATTGTTGCAGACCACATACACATCTTCATGGCAGTGGCCTCTTTCAGCAGGATAATGCACCCTACAAAAATTGTACAGGAATGGTTTGAGGAATATGACAAAGAGCTCAAGGATCTCCAAATTCTCCAGATCTCAATGTGATTGAACATCTGAGGGATGTACTGGAACATCAAATCCAATCCATAGAGGTCCAACCTTGCAACTTGCAGGACTTAAATGAACTGCTGCTAATATCTTGGTGCCAGATACCACAGGACACATTCAGAGGTCTTGTGTAGTCCATGCCTCAACACATCAGAGCTCTTTTGGCAGCACAAGGGGGACCTACACCATATTAGATTTAATAGTGTGGCTAATAAGTGTATGTATGTATGTGTGAGTAAATGTAGGAACAGAAAGTTAGTAAAGGCAAAATAAGCACATAGCTCCCGCGGCGGGCATAATAAACAGCAAGTACTGGGGCACCTACTTACCCTAAATCAGCCCGGGACCGGGTCAAACAATACCGCTCACAATGGGGAAGAAGGCGAAAAAGCTAAAAACCCTTACCGGGAACGGATCCCGCGATATTGCTGACCTCCTTCAGCCGCGGCCTAGGCCCAAAATGGCGCCACAAACAGACGCATATTATACATCCTCTGAGGAAGAACTCCTAGACGCACCTGACAACATATCCTGTTCAGGGAGCATGAACAGCCCTCAAAGGGACCTGATTAGAGGACACAGACACCGGAGTTTCCCCTCCGCTCACCCCCCCCCCCAACACCCTGGGGTAATTGAGTGTAAATCGACAATCAACACACCCGACTGACCACAGCATTGCCTAAGTGTAAGACAGGACCACTGCTTCCTTACATAAGACCCTCAGGGCTAGGTCACTCTCCTAGGCCCACGGTCTTGGTACCATTATCACGCCCTACATTACTTAACGTAACATGTAAATATAAGATAACATACCACAGCGCACTCTTACCTGCAACAAGCACTAAGTGTAGCATTATGTCAACTCGCTAAATGTTTACTACCATAAACAAAAAATGCTTTACTGCTCTCTACTGTGTTAAGGCTACTGAAGTGTGGCAAAAGAGGGCTGTCGTGACGCAGTACCTGTGTCCTTTTTTTTATCTGTTCTCGCTTATGTTGTCTCTGTTTTGTTTTCTTATGCTCTTTGGGCAAAACGGAGCTACCTCCACCCAAGAAAATTGCTACCGGTACCCAGTGGCTCACTTACACTATGGTTCAGCATAACAACTCAGCATGTCTATATTAGCTAACAGCTCTATGCATCTCCTCTTACTTTACTCACAGTACTACCTTACAATGATTAGCCACATGCTTATGTTTATGCAAAGGTCAGCCACTCTCCCTTAACAGTAGCTCCAGACATCTACTAGTTAGCCTGAAATCTAAGCTACCATAAAATATTTAAAATGTGCGATATGTACGAATGCCATAACCCTGTTTTGTATGTCTTGTTATCAATCTGTGTGCAGAGGCTGTTGTGGCTTACTGAACACTATGTTATTTCTTTGCACGCTATAAATAAAGAATAAAAAATAAAAATAAAAAAATAAGCACATAATACTCCAGAGGCAATGAGTTACATAATGTACAACTGTAAAAACCTGTGAAATTGTGGCAGAATAATTAATATATTTGTCTAGTAGATACACAGAATTATCCAGCCATTATTACCTTACTGCTGCTTCAAGCTGTACCAAGTTAGCATCTCTTTTCTCTTTTTCAGTATAACCATACTTCTCCAAAAACACCTAGAAAGAGTATTAAGTATGACAAAAACATATGTTATAACTTGACGTTTTACTTCTCTGTGATGTAGTAAGATATTCATTAATACAAATGTCCTAATATAGTATTTGGCACCCAAATTACCTCATTTTCCACATAGATGAAAATGCAGGCAGGAGAACATTACAGTTCAAATAAAAATGTAAACACATATCTTATACAACAAACCAAACTGCTAATATATAGAGAAATTCATTTTAAAAAAACAACTTGCTTATAGCTACTCTTGACAACTAGATATTTTTGTATAATAGTTGTACTCAATCTATTAAGTCTTCAAAATTTCCAAGACATGTAACACCATGCACTACACTCAACTATATATTATCTCCTGTCTGAAAGAACACAATAATTACCAACTTTGGATTGTTCTGCTAACAATAGCCTTTGTCATACAACACAGTATGTTTGTGGGACACGCCAACTCGAGGAGAGGATTGCTCCATTTTTCCCCTGAGGAAGTTCAAGCATAGTGTGTACTCGTGAGCGCAATCTGTGATTTCTTTTTCATTTTATTTTATTGTATTGCATATTAGTTTACATTTGGGTAGGATGAAGAGCTTTTTCCTGGATCACCGAAGACACAACTGGAACTTTTCTCTGTGACCAATTTTCTATGTGTTCTGTCTCTGTGGCTGATGTGCTCTGTTTGTGATTTTATCTTGTAACTGTGATTTGTATTAATGCAGTATGTGCATAGAGAAGATCTGCACTATGTTAATTGTTCCTTTCCTCTACATGTGCTTCCGATGGTAAGAAGACATCACACTTGACCAGTTGATTAATTTGATGTGCCTATAAACAAACATTGGTTTATTAGTGATTTTCACTCACCCCTAATTATATTATTGTGTGTACAATATTACCCTATGATTTTTCTGTCTGTGTTGGATTTTTATTGTAAATAATTTTAAGCTTCTATGTAGCACGGTATGTATGTTTTATGTGACTAGAGAGGAAAATATTCCATGCTTTTGAAACCTAAATGAAGCACTCCAAGTGAAATTAATATTTAAAGAAAAACGCAAAAAAAAATCTCCACACAAAAGAAAGAAAATAATTATGAATCAGAAATTGGTTGGTATATTAATTATCCGCATAGAGTTAAGCGTTCAATAATGTATTTGGTCCAGATGAAAGTTTTAATTTCAAACTGAAACTTTGACCAATAGACAAATAAAGTTTTATTTTCAAGACCCAGGAATGCTAACTGTTCCTTTGATGATGTGTGTGTTTGTATTAAACAAATTCCCCTGTAAAATATAGCTCTCAGATGGGTGGGTTTATACATAAACTCATAGTAACTAGACTACCTGAAAATAACCTGGGTCCTTCAACATAACAAAACAACAAGCAAAGGAGTTTCCCTTTTATTTCACATCTGTTTTATTAAGTCAACTATAAAAATAGCAATGTCTCGCCTATTAGTTATCAGGATATTGGTATAGACAGAGGAAATGAACACTTTCCTGTAAGCGATTCATATCTTGTTTTTCTACATTTTCAAATGAGAAGGATAAATGTGCTTAAAAAACAAACATTGATAATTTTCAGTCACCCTAATTAAATGATAAATTTTTCGTTCATTCAAATAAGTGCAGTACCACAAGAGGTGCATATGGAGTTCCGTATGCCATATAACATACATATGTATGGAAAACGTGACTCATAGCGATATATCTGAAACAAATGTAAATGCAAGAAATAGTGCAGATAACGTTTTCAATAAGTGCAGTGAGGGAATATTCTATATAGTCTCACTCACATGTAGCAGAGCCCTATAGGATAGGCTCAGATCTCAATGGCTGCGTGTGCTTATGGTGACACAGTACCCAATCGGTCCTCTAGGCGTCTGGAGATCCTTATGCATACATGAGAGAGAGAGAGAAAACAAGGGGAAGAGGAGAACCCCTAGTGCGGTCAATCCCAATGTACAGTGTCAAATAGTGCAGAAAAAGTGGCTTCTCACCTGATGTGGAGCCCTATACCTGGCTCCTGGTGTGTAGGTGTCTGTGCCTTTAAGGGGGCAACTACCCTTCTTTAAGCAGCAACAATGGAGGATGGATTCCAAATATAAAACAAAATTTATTAAATAAAGTAGTAAAAACTTACAAGTAAAATATAAACAAAATTGTGAGAAATTATAAAATGTGGAATCTTCAATCCTCCAGCCGAAACATGTTTCACTGTACCCAGACAGCTTTTTCAATCGGAGGCCATTGAGATCTGAGCCTATCCTATAGGGCTCTGCTACATGTGAGTGAGACCATATAGAATATTCCCTCATTGCACATATTGAAAACGTTATCTGCACTATTTCTTGCATTTACATTTGTTTCAGATATATCGCTATGAGTCACGTTTTCCATACATATGTATGTTAACCCATATGGGTGAGTCAACAAATTTGTAAGCGCTCCATATGCACACGAGTGGTGGTTTTTATCATTAATTTCCAATACTGAGTGTACACCTAATCTTTTTTTGTACTAATCTATAGGGTAGAGAGTCCCTATTTGTGTGGTAGCTGCTGTCATTCTATTCAATTATTAACTGAAAGCGCCTTGAAAACACACAAATTCTTATTTCTATGTAGCACAGTATGTATGTTTTATGTGACTAGAGAGGAAAATATTCCATGCTTTTGAAACCTAAATGAAGCACTCCAATTGAAATTAATATTTAAAGAAAAACGCAAAAAAATCTCCACACAAAAGAAAGAAAATAATTATGAATCAGAAATTGGTTGGTATATTAATTATCAGCATAGAGTAAAGCATTCAATAATGTATATGGTCCTGATGAAAGTTTTAATTTCAAACTGAAACTTCGACCAATAGACAAATAAAGTTTTATTTTCAAGACCCAGGAATGCTAACTGTTCCTTTGATGGTGTGTGTGTTTGTATTAAACAAATTCCCCTGTAAAATATAGCTCTCAGATGGGTGGGTTTATACATAAACTCATAGTAACTAGACTACCTGAAAATAACCTGGGTCCTTCAAAATAACAAAACAACAAGCAAAGGAGTTTCCCTTTTATTTCACATCTGTTTTATTAAGTCAACTATAAAAATAGCAATGTCTCGCCTATTAGTTATCAGGATATTGGTATAGACAGAGGAAATGAACACTTTCCTGTAAGATGATGAGGAACGTAATTAAAGAGCCAAACACAATTCAATATTATAGTCTTGTTTTTCTACATTTTAAAACTAAAACAAAGGAGAGAATTTCCTGAGAAGGATGTCAGCTCTCATATGTGAATCTTAAAACAACAAACCATAATGTCCGATATCATTCTGTCAGAATCACGAAACCTCAATTAAATGCCTTAATCTTTCCAGTTTCAAGTTTGTTCAAGCGCAATTCATTGTTTTTTCAAGATAACATTGACATGATGCAGAGATCCCACAAGAAACATAATATATATATATATATATATATATTCTTTATTTTTGTTTTAAGTGCATAATGTTAAGTCATAAGATATCCGTAGTGCCATATAACATAGTAATACATAAACAGGTAGTCAATAGGGTGCAATTCATACATGGCTTATAGACAGTTTGCACTTTTATGAGGTGGCCTAGGCAGTCATAGGGATCTATCCAGATCTATGCGCTTTTACTGTTCAAATGGGCTCAACATGGTTGGGCGGGGGCGTTCAGTGGTAGAGACAAGACGCGGGTAAGGTACCACCTGCGAGGACGACCATTTACAGTTTAGGGCGTCTTATGTTAAGAGGTGTAGTGGGTATTACTCATATCATTCTGGGCCTATGTTAAGTCATGTCTATGGGTCAAATAGTTGGTTCGATAGTTTCGGCTAGGTCGAGTGTATTGCTAGTGTGGTAGTGGTTTGTTCTGTTCTGGCCTAGGGGTGTAGGAGAGCGAGAGCAGTGGTCCGCTTCAGGTATTGACTATGGGATACCTGTCAGTAGGAGGCACACTTTTAGTATCGACTGAACACTCCTGTGCTGGTTTACTTAATCCCTTAAGGGCATTGGGGGGGTAGAGGAGGGAGGGGGGATGCCGCGCACCCCAGAGCTAACTTATATTACCCAGCCAGTGTAGGCTTGGGTGGTTCTACCATTGGATAATGCTTCGGCATCAGTGAGAGGAGTACTGTGCGTACTGAGAGATTTTAACTTTGGATTATATATGCTAGGAAGAAGGAACAACATAAACAACAATAACTATAACAAAAGAATGCTTGTGTGGTCGGCTTAGGCTTCAGGTCATGGTCCCAGGTTGTGTGTTAGGTAGTCCTGTGGTACTGTTGGACAGTCCCAACGTGGCAAGTAAGGCAGGACCCTCTCCCGGGTCAGAGACCTTGTAGGATTTATCGTCCTTGGTTACCCAGATCGATCTAGGGGTTGCCCACCTGTAAGTGAGTCCTGCTGATTGTAGGATGGTGGTTATGGGCTGCATGCTCTTGTGCCATGATAGAGTATCCCTGCTCAGGTCTTAGAAGAAGCGATTTGATGCATTTCAAAGTTGTAGGGGTTTTTTCCTTTAATAGCAGCCATTAGGGCTATTTTATCTGTAAGAGTTTGGCATTTTAAGATGGGGTCGCAGGGCACCGCCTTTGGAGCTCGCAGTGATTTGGCAATCCGATACACGCCATCAAAAGTGTTTTGCTTGTTTGATGGGTAGGAGCGAGGCCACTAAGCACCTTATGAAATTGGGGAGTTCCTCCAGCAGTACCGATTCTGGTACCCCCTGATCTTAACATTCTTCCTCCTGCCCCTGTCATCTAGCACATTAATTTGCCTGGTGATAGTGGTCTGTGTAGTTTGCATCTGGGTAACTGTATCTCTCAGTGCGTTTAGATCTTGTCACAGATCTCACCTCCCCTTCCGCGGCTTGAGTGTGGGCTGTCACCACCTGTACCTCTGCTGCAAGCCCCTTCAGGTCTGCCTGCCACATTTGCTGTAAGTTGTGTTGGAGTCCAGCCAGCATGTTGTGAATATCCTGATGGTAGCTGGGGCTGATTCTCCTGTGGTCTATGGGTTTTCTCTGTCTGTGTTGGCTGTGGCCATGCTGTGCATGGAGTTCTCCTCTTCAGACTTAGTGGGTGAGGCGTCCATGGTGGCCTGGGTCCGTGCCAGTGTAGGGGATAGTAGCATGATGCCTATGTCCAATTGTGGCTTGGGTGTGCGTGGGGTCGGTTTTTGGGACCTCCGTTCCATTTCGTCTGGAATGTGGAAGTCTGATTCTGCATGTTGTGAGCCCGTCTTAAGCCACGCTACCAACTCTCAGGCCAGATCCTGCCGGTGGGCGTTCGCGCGGTAGGCCCCAATGCCTTTGATGCAGCGTTTTGTGCCCGGGGTTTGGAAGAAAGGCATCTGCAGATTCAGCAGAGTCCCCTGAGTTGGTGTCCGTAGTTTGTTTCAGCCGATGGACTATAGTTTCGTCGATAGCGCTTGGATTTCGTTTTGGGTTATTGGAGCTATTGGAAATGGCGGCTGCTCCGGTGCTCTGCAGGCTACGCCCCTGTCAAGAAACATTTTTAGGTGCATAAATTCGAAAAAAATAAATCAAAAAAGTGTAGGTACACTGAAAACAGAGTTAGGTGGGTTAATGAAAACCAGGAAAAGGTAGAAATTTTAAATAACTATTTTTTTCTCAGTATATCATAAGGAGGATCCTGTGGCAAGAGATATGCAAATGAATGCTGGAAAGAACTTGCAGGAAAAAAACAGATGAATAAAAACAAGGTGCTTCAGAAACTAAAGAAAGTTAATGTAAACAAAGCTCCGGGGCCGGACAGTATTCACCCACGAATACTTGAGGAGCTAAGTGTGGAAATAAGTGAACTTCTGTATTTAATCTTTCAAGATTTTTTGCTTTCAGCAATTGAACTGAAGGATTGAAGGAAGGCAGATGTGATTCCTATATTTAAAAAGGGTTCAAAATCTTTGCCTGGAAAATCTAGACCTTAATTTCTGTGGTTGGAAAAAAGTTTGAAGAGTTATAAGGAATAATATTCAGGAATTTAGTGTGAAGAATTAGCAATAATCAGCATGGTTTTATGAAACATAGGTCATGTCAAACTAACCTAATTGCATTCTACAAAGTAGAAGTATGGATCAAGGTGTTGCAGTGAATGTGATCTATTTGGATTTTGCCTAGGCTTTTGATACGGTTCCTCACTAAAGGTTAGTGTTCAAACTAAAAGAAATTGGTCTAGACATACCTGGTTTGGTTAGTTTCTTCCATTAATCTCTGCCAATCCCCTCAAGCTCTTTCAGGCTATATGTGGATCAACGGTGGACAGCGATTTTCAGGTCTCACCTAAGATATTTGATTGGGTTTAAGTCTTTGTCCCCAAACCACTCTTGTTTTGTTTTGGCTGTGTGCTTAGGGTCATTGTCCTGTTGGACGGTGAACCTTTAGCCCAGTCCTTGGTTATGAGAGATTTGAATCAGGTTTTCTTTAAGGAATAGGATATATCTGATTTTGCTGCACTCAGCTATCCATCAACCCTGACTAGTCTTCCAATCCCTGCCACTACAAACAACCCCAAAGCATGTTGCTGCCACCACCATGCTTTACCATTGGGATAGTAGTGCACCATAATGTGTGGTTCCTGGTTTCCTCCAGACACGACACTTTGAAAGTGTATCAAAGAGTTCGATCTTTGTTTCATCAGACCAGAGAATCTTGTTTCTCATTGTCTGACAGTCCTTTGGGTGTTTTGCAAATTCCAATAAGGCTATTGAGTGTCTTGCAGTGATGAGAAGCCAGTCTGCCATAAGGGCCAGATTGATGTGGTGTTCATTGATGGTTGTCATTCCCGAAAGTTGTTCCCATCTCCATACATGATCTCTGGAGCTGACATGGAGTGACCTTAATGTTCTTGGTCATCTCTGTTACCAAGGCCCTTTTCCGATTTCTCTGTCTGACTAGGCAGCTAACTTTAGGAACAATTCCTGGTTGTTCCAAACCTCTTCCATCGCATAATTATGGGGCCACTTTTCTCTTTCCATGTAGCAGAAACTGTTTTGTAGACTTCCCCAGATGTAGCCTTTCTAGTTTAATAATTGAATTTGTGACAGATGGACTTCAATCAAAGTGTAGAAACATCTCAAAGAGAAACAGAATGCATCTGAGCTAAATTTCAGGTGTCATAGCAAAGGGTCTGAATACTTAAATGTCAATGTGATATTTGATTTTTTTTCTTTTTAATAAATTTGCTAAGTTTTCAAAAATCATTTTTTTGCTTTGTCATTATGGGATATTGAGTGTTGACCGATGTAAAAAAAAAATTAAAACTTTCAAAAACTGCAGCATAAGACTTCAATAAAAATTTTTTTTTAAAAAGGTCTACATTCTTTCTAAATGCACTGAGCACCCTGGAAGCATCTGCCACATCCTACTTACTAAAGTCCTTTGGGAACCTCTTATCCAACTCTCTTCTGCACTATACCTGCCAAGTTCCTCTTCTACAATAGATATAGATAGATTCAGTCAAAGCATCCCATCCAAACCCAGACAGAATTTACATCATTAAAACAAAGGTAGGAACTTCATTAGCAACTCAGAAGAGAAGGCAGGATAGGAGGCACCCATGGGATGCAGGTAAGTGTTAAACAGTTTTAAAGGATTTATCCTTTAAAATCCGTCAATCTTAACCACCTTAAATTTATCAACAGAGATCTATTTATATTGATTGCTTGCTAAATACTGGAAATTGGAATGCATGAGCAATCATTTTGGGTAATCCCATTCATTTTCTGTTTTTTAATGTAATCTTTTTATATTGATCTATCAGTGTTTTTTTGCTGCATGGTTGAACTCATTCATCCGATGTGAATAGCTAATAACAAGCCCAACTAACTGGTCCTTGTTTTGACAATTCCTTACAAGTATAAGCTTTGTGATTAGTCTATACTATATGTGTCATCTTCTTTTCAAGTTCTTCTGTTTATTTTTAGCAGGCGTGCCCGCCTATCCCCCCCCCTCTTGCCCCCCCAAGTTGTCTGTTTTACTGGACATTGAGCAAGTCATATGCATTTTGGCTTTCAGTGATATGTTATTAAACTTCAATTTCAATGTGTCTCCTTTAACCGAGTGCCAAAACCACTGTTGGCCAAGATGCAATATAAAGTACAATTAAAGGGCTTGTGGTTTATGTGAATATTCATTCATAGCATTCTAATTTTCACATCAGACCAAAGCTCACAAAAGGATGATACATTCTTACAGGATTTTATTTGAGATGCTAGATATAGAAGTCTTGTATATGCCACATTTACCGTATATACTCGAGTATAAGTCGACTTTTTCAGCACATTTTTTGTGCTGAAAAAGCCACCCTCGGCTCATACTCGAGTGAGGGTCGAGTGATGATAATGGCGGTGGGTACCCGCCACCATCATCATCACTACATACCGCGGGTACCCGACGCAATCATCAATTGCGGCCCCCGCCCGCACGGCAAACTGCTGGGGCTGCCGTCCAAGGGGTCCATCGGGTGGCCCATGCTGTCAGGGCCACCCAATGGATATGGATTGTCAGGGGGCCCGGTCAGCGCTGGGTGCTTTAACAGCGCGACCGGGCCACCTGTGATGAGATCACAACTGCTGGGAGGAAGTGACTGCACGTCACTCCTCCCAGCTATCCCTGAGCCCACGCGGGAGGAAGAACAGGGAGTCAGACTCCCATCAACCTGAGTAACCCTCCTGCACCTAAAAGGTAGGCAACAGGAGGGTGACTTAAATATTATATATTAAATATTATGTGTGTGTGTGTTTGTTTGTATGTATGTGTCTATCTGTCTGTAATATGTATGTGTACCTGTCTGTTTGTATGTGTCTTTGTATGTATGTCTTGTGTGTGTGTCTGTCTATATGTCTGTATGTATGTGTCTTTGTGTGTATGTGTGTATGTGTGTGCCTGTCTGTATGTATGTGTGCCTGTCTGTTTGTTTGTATGTATGTATGTGTGTCTTGTCTGAATGTATGTGTGCATGTCTGTTTGTATGTATGTGTCTTTGTATGTATGTTTTGTGTGTGTATGTGTCGTGTGTGTATGTGTCTGTCTGTCTGTGTGTGTGTGTGTGTCTCTGTATGTATGTGTGTGTGTCTCTGTATGTGTGTGTGTGTGTCTGTCTGTCGGGGGGCGGGGAGAATTTACCAGTAGCTGCTGCATTTCCTACCCTAGGCTTATACGCGAGTCAATACGTTTTCCTAGTTTTTTGTGGTAAAATTAGGTGCCTCAGCTTATATTAGGGTGGGCTTATAATCGAGTATATACGGCATATATAATTCTTGTGTTGTTGCTTTGGTATACACACAGCTAGTTGGTCTACATTATTGAAAATGTACTCAAGAGGTGAAGAAATCCTAACATGATTGTAATATGTAATAGGAACATGATGGATTCTGCAAAGATTCATTATATAGACTGAGGAAAAACTTCATCACGTTGCCAACTGACAAATTGGCACGGGATATGCTAGTCTCCGAGTACAGAATTGTTATAAGAGACTTTAATGTTTCCAACTTCTTGGGAAATCTTATCTAGGCTGATACAATGTCCGTTTCCATAAATGTTAAGTACTTGGGTATGTTGCCCAGTTGCATTCCTTAACTGGTACAATGTGAGCATTGCCAAGAATATTTTCTATATAACTTTTCTTTTACAATTACATTTTTATTACTCGAACCATGTACAAAGATAATAAAAAATAATATGCATTAATATAACTATATATAATATTGATTAAGTGTGTATAAAGAATAGCCCTCAGTGGAATGGAGTCTGGCTCCGACCAACAAAACATAGTCCTGGCTCTACTAAACTCATAGCAAGATATCAACCATATATCTCAGAGCACAGATATACAAGGAGGTTCATGTTTGTGTATGTAAAACGAGTTATATATTTTGTAATATAGGGGTGACAAGTTTCTAGCACATATTTCTAGCACTTCCTCCAATACTTCCTCCCTCCCTTCACCCCCAGTTCCTACACCCATGATTGTATGGCTGGTACATGCAGAGCAATTCTGAAGCAAGTTAATCCTTCTTCAGTGTTTGATTATCTATCAAACTCCATATAGTACCTGGGTACACTATTTTTGCTAAGGTTAACTCCTTAGGCCATAAACTTTTACCTACAAATCGTCAGTATCTAGTGATCTGGGCAAAACGCACCTCACCTATTAAAATATGTTTGTTTAGTTTATTATGCAGGGTGAACTAAGTATTCATACTTTTGCAAAACATCTACCTGTCATTAATCTGCCAGGAGAGTAGTAATTAGAATAAGTAGAATGAACATTGAACAATGTGCCTAGACCGTCTACCCTCGAGACTAGATAGGTTTCGTTAATACTCGTCTCTTCCATTGACCTTCCTCTCTGTCTCATATCACACAATTCTGTACTCTAAAATTCTGACGGCAGTCTCTGATGTGCCTCCCTGGTTTGTCTCTAGGTGGGAGACAGAACCTGAGGATGTTCTCTCAAAAAAGCAGTGGGAAAAATATGCATACTCTCACACCAAAGTATGGTGAAGGTAAAAGATATTTATGCCATAAAATCCATGACTGCAACACTGAATGTTTCTACTGACAGTTATCTGCAGATATATAAGCCTTGGATTGATTTCATTTTCAAATGTTCCTTGGGGAATTAATTGCTGCTTATGAGTTAAAAAAATAGTCAGAGAAGAATGGAAGATTTTGTTTTTATATCCTCCACTTTTCCCTCCCTTCTTGGATTCCCCTAATTTTGTTACACTTTTTAAGGGCTTTGTGTTTCTCTTCCTCTTACTCGTTAGGCTTTTCCATTATGAACTTATTGGACACAAAGACACTTAAAGAGATTTGCTTCTTTTAGTTTAGTTCTGAATGTAGCATTTAATGATAAAAACTATCCTTTTCCGCGCTTTGATTTACAAATTTTTCGCAATAAGAAACGTCCCGGAGAACACATTAAATTCGTAAACTGAGGTACCACTGTATTCTTTATGAAACAGAGTGTTAGGATAGAAAACAACTCAACACGCAGGACAAGGAAAGAAGAGCTACATATTACCTTAGAGTTGCTGGTCTTAACGTAAAACGCACAGAGAAATAGCAAAGTTATGTAAAGGTATAACTTCCCTGAAATTCCAATGCAATCCAAAGATACCATAAAATAAAGTAGGGACTGCTCTGTCTTTTGGACAAGCCTTAGGTTAAGAAAAGTTGACAAAAGGCAGAGTTCCACGTCAACTTTTGTTCAATCCCAGAAGCTGTCACAAGTGATGACTGTAGGATTCAGGCATTGTCTAAGGAGATTCCTGTGGTCTTGCGGGATCTTCCATAGACACGTTAAATTTCCTGGCAACTGAAACACCAGGAGCTGAAGAGGACATGCCGGAAGAAGATGGCAGCAGCCACCAGGGTCAGCTTGAGGTAAATAAAACTTATGTCCCCTTGCACCCCATGACCACCAGACCCACTCTAAATCTGTCACTTTCAGGGGTCTTTCAAATTATCTGTCGATCTGGTTATGATCGACAGACCCTAACCCTAGCCCAGATGCCCAGTAATGAGGCAAACTGTTTAGGAAGCTTTGCTCTCTTACCTGATGCCCCCAGGCTCCTGCTCTTTGTTCAAGGGAGATTTATGAGAACTTGCTACTGCAGAGCAGCAGACGCCACATGCTAATCCTGCAGCTAGTTTATTGAATTAGTTGAGAGTGTCAGATGACCACTTTCAGACAAGAGCTTCATACAGACACCATGACCACTTTAAATCACTGAAGTAATTATGGTACCTGGATTAACAATTTAACTCATTTTTCAGCTCTGCTATATTGGCCCTTATAGTAACAACATTTGGAAGAGCAGTAATCTGTTTTAAGTAGATTTTCCTTATTAGAAATACACTTTATAATCCTCCAATAGCCTCCAAGCCCCCGACCAGGTACCTCCGTCAATCGCTGCTTCCTAGCACTTGCAAGTACTATAAGCACTGCACTGGAACACCATAACCACCGTGAACCCCACAAACCACCGCAGTTTTGTTGGGGCCTCACCGTCCTCCACCCACGCTGCACCCAAGACCAGGCTACAGCTTCCAGTGGGTAGACCTCTCCTAGTCCAGAGAGCATAGCAGGAACAGCTCTTATAAGAGCTAGTGATTATATCCAGGGGAGTATTGTGATATAACAATCCCCAGAGTGAATGTAGTTTTCCAATCCCCCAAACATGAGCCTAGACTTCATGAAGGGTAAAACGAATCTCAATTTAATGGGAGCCACATTTGGACTTTTATGACAATCCCCATGCAAGGGGACCTTGTTGGACCACATGGACTCCAACACAAAGACACAGACCAATAAGAACAGTGATTAAATGCCTGACACTCCCATAACAAACATATAATCCCTCCTCCCTGCTTGTGAGATAATTGGATCAGTAACTGTACTAATTCTAATCCAATTATCTCCAAGCACAAAAAAAACATACTTTTTTAAAACACCCCAAAAGTACCCTAAAGTACATAAAACCCCACAAATGTTACATCCCCTGATAGCCCTGATCTGGGTGACCAACATATCCAAAAATCACCCAGATCAGTTCAGGGGTTCAGAAATTTTATGGAAGTCATAGTTTTTAACGACTGTAGGCATGGTCCCATAGCCGAAAGTAGTTTCATAGAATCGCGAATATGTGCCGCTGGACGATAGACTGGGAACCGCAAGGTTTTCATGCCGAAAATAGTTACAGGGCATTCACGGCTAAGTCCCCCTGAATTCTATTCGCGGTTTTCGTCCATGTGAACAAGATGGCTGCCACCTCGTGGTCGGCCATAGGAATCGCGGCCACCCAGACGAACACTTAGACCACAGAGGTGCAAATTGCAACAATGTATCAATTAAGCTTAACAAGCTCCAGGGTGGTCTCCGGTTTGTGCGGCTGTTCAGTAAATGAACCATATAGAAACATAGAAACATAGAATGTGACGGCAGATAAGAACCATTCGGCCCATCTAGTCTGCCCAATTTTCTAAAAACTTTCATTAGTCCCTAGCCTTATCTTATAGTTAGGATAGCCTTATGCCTATCCCATGCATGCTTAAACTCCTTTACTGTGTTAACCTCTACCACTTCAGCTGGAAGGCTATTCCATGCATCCACTACCCTCTCAGTAAAGTAATACTTCCTGATATTATTTTTAAACCTTTGTCCCTCTAATTTAAGTCTATGTCCTCTTGTTGTGGTAGTTTTTCTTCTTTTAAATATAGTCTCCTCCTTTACTGTGTTGATTCCCTTTATATATTTAAATGTTTCTATCATATCCCCCCTGTCTCGTCTTTCCTCCAAGCTATACATGATGATGATTGCACGATTAGAGCCTGTTTAAAGTATTTTAGCCAGGTCTATTGCAGGGGCCATAGTCACAGGGTAGGAGGCTGACATACAGGCCCCTCCAAAAACCAGTGGCGAAGTTACTTTCGTCACAATGAGTAATTTTTTCATGTCATTATTTCTATTACACTTTGCAAAGCCTGCAATTACACTGTGAAAATAATGAATTCTTAATGCATTACAGGCCCTTTAACTGACTTGTTTCCAAGTATAAAACAGCTACAGTTTAAAGAACAAAACAACTGCTGGTCAGATTGATAGAGTGCAGATACCGAAATGATGTGAACTTGTTTCATGGTTTCACTGGCTGAGAAATAACAATACTATCACTATGCCTCACTATATCTGAAAGGATTGATTGATGACCATTTCCTCCGTGGTGATATAAAGGCAGTGCAGGATTCTGAACCTATGCCAAGTGATTCATAAAATGTGTACAGTGTGTCTGCAGCAGTCATGTAACTCCCTGTTACGCTATATCTGAAGCTCAATATAACAGTGATTACTATGAAGCAATCGTATCTGCTGTAACATTAAGAGCTGAAACTCTGACTGAGCTAACTGCTTCATTTGGAAGGTTCTAAAGGAAGACAAGCTGTGTGTAGCTGATTGAAAAGTACTTAATAAGATAAAATGGATAATTTATTTTGAATATAGTTAGGAAGTGCAGCTGGAGAGTTGTATCATGTAAGGAACATTCAGCGTTGGGGTCATATTCAGGGTTAGCGGTAACTATTAAAGGGACACCATAGTCACCAAAACACCTGCAGCTTAATGAAGCAGTTTTGGTGCACAGGTCATGCCCCTGCAGTCTCGCTGCTCAATTCTCAATTTTCAGAAGATAAAATCTAAATGAAATACTCATATTGGCCTTGTTGGAATATCATGAAAATTCTAACACAATCAATAGATTTCTTAATAGAAAGTAGGGAATACTTTGTCCTATGGACAAAGCTGAGGTTGACAAAAGGATGAGCTGTCAATGTCATATTTCGTCATTTCCCAGGAGCCTGAGCTATTTGCGAGGAGTTCTATGTATTATCCTGGGGTTTCAAACGAATTTCCTTAGACCTCTGTGTTGCACTATTACTACAGGTAAGCCACCAGGAGCTGAAGAAGGTAGCCATTACAAGGATGGTACTGCCTGCTTGAGCGAGCTTTAGATAAGTATATCTCCCAATAGATTCTGCCCTGAACCATCACCCTTAAGAAGTTTGCAAAATATGCAATACCATTTTTTGCTGTGTACTAAAATAATCAATTGTTCCACTTCTTTTATTCCTCCTCATAATTTTACCTTTGATTAAATTCCTAAAATAAGAAAACAAATTGAGAATAGTAATAGAGGAAAAGGCACATTGGCAGATTAAAGGATTTGTTAAAAACCAAACAAAAGAACATGAAATATCCTTACATGTCATGCAAAGCCCATCATACTGACAGTGGTGGTAACATTTATCAGAAAGAAAAGTCACGTTTACATCTCTTTTCATACACTGATCCTAACAAATTTATAAACTAAAAATAAGAATAAAATAAGTGACAGAAGGTGCAGTGAGGACCAATTTGGCACAAATAAGGGCATAAATAGGTCAAATAGAACATTAAAAGCAAATACAGCACTTTTTATTAATAACCCCGATATTTCTTAAGATTATTACTTTAGCTTCTCTGGGTTGATTGATATTGTATCCTGAAGATGAGTTTAAAAATGTGTCACTTACCTAGTTCACATAGATGCTTATTAAGGTGTTATAAATATGGCTAAAGCAGAAGTTCTCATCCAAGTTTATCAATATCACAGTTGTGCAATTTTTAAATCACTCTGGCTGAGGGTAGAACCATCAACTCTTACCTGTGCATTGTGTAGGGCATCCTCTGGGGCAGGATAAGGAAAGCCCAAATCAGTGATGATAAACAGGATTACCAGTGAAATAATTGTATTGTGCATTCTTAGAATGTGTGATTCTCAGCCACTTAGAAACCGTTCTAGACAAGTATCCGTGGGATGTTCTAAAAACTACACATCACACCTGAGCCAAATCGTCCAACACAATTCAAAGTGGTAGTTGTGTTAACACAGGTTTCAACAAGCGAAGAGGGAAATAAAATGTACCCAAAGTCAAGGAACCAGCCTGATTTGTAATTTTATACAGTGTACAATACTCCTCAGTCATCATAATTGTCTTCTCCAGATTCACTGAAGGTCCAAGTGCTGGTATCCATCCCTATACATGTCACGTAATATTAAATCCACTCTGGATTCATAGCTCATGCTTCCCAAAAAAATGTATTGAAATCCACCTCTTTATTATGTTTATCTCTCTCAACTTTCATTATTGAAGGAGAAGATAACAATTTGTCTCCAAAACAGATGGATGGAAACATTTAGATGCTGCCCATCTTCTGTCTGTTTCTGCACAGCTGAGCCGAGTGTCAGTGACAATGAGCAGTCCAAAAGCTCAGCAGGAGTAACAGGGTCCAGGTTCCCAGCATAAACTGAACATTCTGTAACTATTCACTTATTCTGTACTGGGTAAACCAGGCACCTCCCCAGACAGGAGGAGTCTATGAGTAAAGTGCTCATCACCAGCAGTCTGGAAGCAGGCACAGGAAACTGCTTGTCTCTGCAATGCTGACAAGTGAATCATTTATTTAACTTGCTAGATAATTCAGGTGAATTAGCATATGGTTCTTAACATGCTTCATAACAATGCCTAATGTATATATTTTTCTAGAGAGTGGATCACCACCTTTCATCATCTAATATATGCAGTTTATTCACTAATATTTGAGTTGCAATGAATTGAACATTGAATTGCAAACTTTAAGCTAGAATAGAAAGTTGTGAATAGAGCCAAGTTGCCAAATGTGTCAGAATCAGTGCTTTTTATCTTAAAAATTTGCAATCTGGTTTTATATTCACTACAATTCAGAATTTTGCAAATTAACCCTGCAGTGTTGGTTAATGTGGAATTTGTAGACTCTATTGCATTCAAATAATTCTGGGAGTTGTAGGCCATCAACATCAGGAAGGCTATAGTTTGAGATCCATGCCCTAAGGTATTTAGAGGACAGATATTGGTGTGATTATGTTTGTCCTTCCAGTGGCGGAACTAACGTAGAGAGTTCCCTGGTGCAAAAATTTTTGGGGGCCCCTGAAGACACATGCCCATCTGGTGGCCCTAGTTGCATGGGTTACTTGATGGGCCCTGGTGTAACCGCGACACCAGCAGCAGCTGTAGTTCAGCTGCTGCGCCTTCTGTATTACAGGCAAGACACCTTTTAATGGAAACTGAAAAACATTTTTAGAAGATGCAAGATAATTTACCATGGTGTTTAGAAGGGTGGTGAAGTGGGTGTAGAGGAGTCTGTTTATGGTGTACTGTAAGTAGGAGCTGTAGTGGGAACACGTGCTCATGTATAGGAGCTTTTGAGATTGTGTGTGCTGATAGGACCTGTAAAAGTGTGTGGGTGTACATCTAGGTGCATCACATTCTCAACTTTTCCTTGTTTTGCACATCACAACGGAGCTGGAAGGTTGTATAGCTGCTGAATGAATATCCAGTGGCACATTTTTTAAATTAGCCTGGAATGAAGAGTCTCTGTTCTTTTGGCTTCATCTGCAGTGTCTTTTGTACAAAGGTTGCACAGTTTTTCTGAGCCATCCAGCTGAGGTTGATTGCAGTTAGCGCAGATAAAATTGTTGTGATGCCACTTTTAAACAGGCTTGTCAACCGGCATCAGTGGAGTAGATGTACTGCAAAAAACAGCATGATTAGGAAAAGGCATATCTACAAAATTGTGAGTTTATTAAGGATTGAAAAAACTTTATTTATATCATAATAAGCTTCACAGTGTACTGGATGGCAGATGAACATACACTATAACGGACATGCAACCGGCAGCCAGGTAAATACTGCTACAAGAAACAATTCGTTATATGCATTTCCAACTAGATCATTACGATTTTATTAAAGGACACGGAGGCTCTTATTAGGCTTTATCTCTTTCTTTATTCCTCAGCAGCAAAGAAAGGATATTGCTATTTTTTAATATAGCAATAACAAAAAGAAAAAACAGATACCCTTAAGGGTTAACCATATAACATTCCATATCCATTAACCAATAGGATCAGTCCTTGTACTATATCCCTTCATGTGAGGTAAACTACTTCCTCTTTCTTTGCTGCTGCCTCAGCTAAGTACCACATATTTTTCAGCTCCTCAAATATTGTGTTGTTTAGATTCATATTACTATTTATTTATTTATTTCTTTGGTATATCTGCTGTTTTTGTTTGTGTCTATTATTTTTCTTTTGTTTGTGTATTTTACTGAAGTTTTGCTTTTTCCTCCTGTTCCCAGTGCAGGGTGCTTGCCTCCTCCCTGAGGCAAGCCCCATCCTGCACTGCCGTTTTTCGGGTTGTTTATAACCCGTTTCCTCCTTTCACTTCCCCGGGTGGGGGTCGCTCAGGCATCCCCTCCCCTCCCCCCCCTCACCCCCTCCGGCCCAGAACGAGCCGTTTTTGCCGCCGGACGGGCGGCTGTTACTGTGGCGGCCGTTTCCGCCGCTCGCGCATGCGCGGTCTACACTCGCGCATCGCGGCGGCCATCTTAACTGAGGGCAATTTTGCCGCTCTTTTCGCCCGCGGTCCGCGCCACTCTGACAGGGAGGGGCGCGAGCTGATTGGGTGAGGGAAGTGTTGGGCAGCTTCCCAGTGTCCCCCAGGAGTCATTCCTGAGGGAACACTCGGTAAGCTGCCATATTATTGTGCCAGAATACTTGTGCCTTGTAGAACTGTGCCTGCCTTTACTTTTAGTCTAGTGCTCAGCCACTTACCTTATACTACCGGTATATTAACCTCTGCAGTGCTGCCAGTGTGCATTTGGTCCAAAAGTGACTGTTTTATTTCAGTACCTTTCTCCCTATACTACTACTGTGCACATTCCTGATCACTATGCAGTCCCCTGCTGATAAGCAGACAGTTACCCCCCCTCCCACCTCTACTAAACCCAGCAAACGTGATAAGACAGCCATGTCTACAGACGCTGCTGTCATTGAGGGAGTTGGGGACGCATCCCAGGAGCACGTGAACTCAGAGGAGTTCCAGGCGCTCCTGGATGCCACGATGAGTAGGTCTGTCACACAGGCCATTTTTACTGCCATGGGGGCGATGTCGGACACCCTGTCCCACTCCATTTCCTCTGCTATTAGGGCATCCGGTCACAACCCGGGCTCGGCACCCCCTATATCCAGTGATAGCAAGCCAATGGTCCCTAGCGGCCGCAAGGCTACGTGTAAATCGCACCACCTGTCAGGTGCTACCTCCAGAAATACTAAGACGGACAGGTTGCGCCCTGTTGAGAGTGATGACGTGGTGCTCCCACGTAAAAGAGCCCCCCGCCGGGCAAAAACGGTGCGGACTTGGAAGAGGGCAAAAGCCCTATCTGATCCGTCCGACTCCGACTCGGACTCAGAGGAGGTATCAGATGGGTCCGATGACATCGACCCAATTAATTCTGACAATTCATCCCCCGAACGCAGCGACACCGCGCCTCCAGCTCTAGACGCGGAGCGCGAGACGGATGAGTCCGCTGTGTTAGACCCCCAAGGGGAACCCCTTTTTGATCCCGATACCTTACACAATCCGCGTTCAGCGGAGTGGTATCCCACGACTCATGTGGCCGTTTATATTGCGACTAGGGTCAGAAAACCCCTCGACAAGGCCACAAGAAACAAACTAAGGGCGGAATGCCCAAGGCCCACTGTCCCAGACATGGCCTGCGTGACCCCTGAAGTGGATCCCAAAGTCGCCCAGTTCCTGGGTAAGTCAGGATGGAGGGCCAAGAAGGGTTTGGACTACTCCTTAAAACACTGCCAGGACAAGATCCTGGACATACTCGGGCCTATAGCTAAAATCTTCGATATGGTCGAAGCGGCCCTTACTGGGGGGACCCCAATTGACTTGATGGCCATCAGAGGCTGGATTCAGAGGGGCATATGCCTAATAGGAAATGCCAACACCGCATTGGCCACGGAACGGCGTAAAGCCATATTGTTGAAAATCGAGCCAAAACTAGTGCATTTGGCAATCTCCGAGCCTGGCACACAGGCAAAAGGTCTCTTATTTGGAGACAATTTTGTTAAGACCCTGGGTAATTACGTAAACACATTTACGGCACTAGATAAGGCACAACATAATATGAAGCGAGTGTTCTCGCAAAAGGTTTTCGGGGGGGCCGGCAGACAGCGGGGCCGTCTGTCCGGCCGCCCCTCCCGGACTCAGTTCCGGGGCTATCGAGGCTCCGCCACAACCCGGTTCCACCCACCCGAACCGAGGGCACAATCACCATTCTTCCCGACCAGGGGCAGATCATGGCATCCACGCGGAACCAGGGGATCCTCCTATGGCCGTCGGCCTTATGGTGAGTCACTCCACATTACACACCATTCCCTTTGTACCTGTGGGGGGCAGATTGTTTCAATTCCAGGATGCGTGGCACAACCTAACCTCAGATACATGGGTCCTAGAGACCATCCTCGGCTATCACATCGAATTTACACAACAGCCGATTCAACTCTCATTGCCACATCGGATTATTTTTTCCCCACTAGACAAACAGCTAGTGTTAAAAGAGATTCACGCACTGGAGAAAAAAGGTGCGATATACAGGGTTCCTATTACCGCCCCCGGGTTCCTAAGCAACATCTTCTTAGTACCCAAGAAAGGTGGGGGCATGAGGCCAGTAATAAACTTGCGGCCTCTCAACGCCTTTGTCACATACCATCACTTCAAGATGGAAGGAATACACTGCCTCCGAGACCTACTAAGACTGGGAGACTGGATGGTAAAATTGGACCTCCAGGATGCATACCTCACAATACCGATTGCCGAGGACTGTCAACAATTCCTGCAATTCCAATGGGACCAGACGATGTGGCGTTTCCGCTGCCTCCCTTTCGGCCTGTCTTCAGCCCCGTGGTGCTTCACCAAGCTGCTGAAACCGGTAGTTGCCCTCCTTCGCAGCAGAGGTGTACGTCTGATCATATACCTCGACGACATGCTGATCATGGCCCAAGACACACAGCTACTGAATCAACACCTATTCTGGACAATAACCCTTTTACAAAACCTAGGTTTCCTAATCAATTGGGACAAATCGATCCTACAACCTTCACACGCGATAGAGTTTTTGGGTTTCGATATAGACGCAGTACACGGAACGCTCAGTCTTCCTACCGCAAAAGTAAAACTTATCAAGAAGGAAATCCGGAGGACGTTGGCTCGACCAGTCTTAACCCTCCGACAGCTAGCCAGGATAATTGGCCTGCTCTCGGCCTCTATACAAGCGATCTTCCCAGGCCCTCTCCACTACAGATCCCTACAACAACTCAAGGCAACCCACCTACGCTTGGGTCACTCCTATTCAGATTCTGTACCTCTAGACTGCGCGGCAAAAGAGGAACTGGCATGGTGGCTTCAACACATGGA